TCTTTATCACAGCTGTGCGCCTCATAGGGCGCATTCTTCCCAGCCACGGGGGGCCCCCCCCTCGGCTGACCCCTCCCTTTAATTGAAAGAATCAATTAGTTCACTGAACCTTTCAATTTTGAGCCTCACTATATTTCGTAAACAACAACTTCCGCTGAGCTCCTTCTGAGCTCGCTTTCGTGATCACAAGTAACCTGGTTGCAGGATGTTGTTGGACCATAGAATGCTTTTGATGCGTGTGTCGTTGTTGTTGTTGTTGCTGTTGTTGTTGGTAGAAACAAAAACAGCCGCCCAACATAATTGTCACATGTTGTAACTTTGGAACTTCAAGGGGACAAGGTTAGGGATACGGTTGAAGGTTTGAGCGAATGTTGGTTTCGTAAGTAGGTGGACTTGTTGGACTTGTTTCCCTGAAGTCTGGGCTGGTCCATTTTTAGTGTTTTTGAGGTGTTGTTCTGGAGGGGGGGGCTCCAAAAAACAACACCGGGGCCGCAGTCTTTGTCTCTAGGATGTGGTAGAGGTTCTAAGTAGAAGTTTTACAGAGCTGACCGGTTATAATATCACTACTACTACTACTACTACTACTACTACTACTACTACTACCACTAGTACTCGGACTAGTACAAGCACTACCACTACTGGTAAAAGTACTTGTTGGCTGGTTGTTTTCGGGGGGGGTCAAAAAAACAACGACGGGGATGGAGATGTTGTTTCCACCCCCTTGTAGAGAACAAGATATGTTGTAACGGGGCTGCATTTTTTGTGTGTACCGTACCTTGTTTTGTTGTTGTTGTTGTGGTTGTGGTTGTGGTTGCTGTTGTGGTGGTGGTCGTGGTGGTGGTGGTGATTGTGTTTTGGTTAAAAAAAACATAGTAACTGTCCAAACGCCGGCTGATCAATCCTCTGATGCAAGGCAACAACACCATTCACTTTGGAGCTACCAGTATCTGCATACAATACATATAGTTGTCAACCAGCAGCTCCAAAATGGCTGGCTGGAACATCTTTGGAAGGGATCTACCTGGAACCGTAGCTGGATTTCACTCGGAATGGAACTTCAACTACGAGTCCAGGGTTATTTGGGAGCCACTATTGGAGACGCTGATGAGTTTGAATTTGTACCTGTGAATGCATCGAAGACAGCTTGGTGCTGTAAACTACTGTGGTTCTTTTTGGGCGGCAACACTGCAAAGTCCTGAAACTCTATTCCAAGCAACCTCTGTGATAGAGGGACTGAAACCCGCCGTCACTTTGGGATTCATGTTGTTCACCTTTGCGGGTGTCAAAACTTGTTGCTCAAGCTTATGCCATCACATAGATTGGGGAGGCTCACCGCTTCCCTCAGTTTTGAACAACTTTGGACTTCAACTTGGAAGGGAGGCATCCCTTTACTTGTAGTTATGTAGTAAAGGTGGGTTTCAACCAAACAAGTGTATGTATGAACACGAGCACTCAGAGGAGACAAACAAGCAAACTTCGCTCGAGTCAAAGGCAGCAAAGCTCAGCTGACACTGAGAAGAGCTTTGCAAGCAGCTAAGAGCATTCACCAAGCTGTTACCGAAACATCTTTGTTGGTTGCAACACACCCTATGCTTTGTTGTGGGCAGGCGTGATGGAAAGCGGTACTTCGCAAGGACATCGAAAACAAGGGTCATCGCGGCATCGGTCGTTGTGTAGGCTTCAGCCAGGCATCCCCGAGGTTTGGCCCCACAGATGAAAAGGACATGCTCCCTGTTACGTTCGTAGCGTCCTCTTGTTCCGATCGTAGTTTCAGGCCAGGAGCGCCCCGGAGCTACGTTCGCGTCCCGTCCGATCGCTCCGGACTCGAGTCGCGATACCCTTTGTATGTGACGTTCGTAGCGTCCTGGCCGCTGCAAAGTAAAGAAGCTCTTAACATGCAAAACCATCCCTGCCACGAGAACATGTGGAATTCAATTTAAAGACGCTCTTTAAAGAAATAAAAGAACACAAACACACACACGTCAAACAAATACACACTTGGACAGTGTTCATCCTTTATGTTTTGGTAGGGCATCGCTTTTTGGGGGCACCATCGCTTCCCCTGACGGTTTGCAAATTCGCAAAGATTGAAGGCAGCGAAAACATCTTCTGCTCTATGACATACCCTGGTCTTTGACGGTTGCTCACCTGCTTGAAAACCTCCAACTGCTCCAGCGCGGTTGGACGAATCAAAGGCCACAGAATCGATCGATGTTCAAAAACACTGGTCGATCCAGCATGTGCGAGATCATATGTAAGGATCATGGTTCAAACCAGCTCAGCCACTACGTCGATTTGGGAGATATAACCAAAAGAAATGGGACATTGAAGGACATAGTAAAGAATCTTCTAAACACCCTCAAAAACAGTGTCGAACTTTGTACATTTAATTACTGTTGTAGGTTGATATGCCCCGAAGAATGCTCGCCTCTCAAAGGGCGCGGCGACCGTGGCACCAGGTTCCAGCGGCAACGGCTCAGGCGCCTGAGGCGATTCAGGGGGCATTGAGTGGAGGAGCTCCCAAAAGAAACAGAATTTGATACACCACCAAATGTCCGGTTCCGTACCCGGGCAAAGGTTTCAGGTTTGGGTGACGGACTCGTGCATTGTGTTGGTACAGGAACATCCTCGTCCGCCTCTGGCAATTTTTGGGTTGGAAGCGGGTATAAATGATTTCATACAAGCCATGAAGGTTGCGGATATATAATATATATATATATATACTTGGCAAACTGTGAAGCGACTTGTGCTTGCATCAAGAATCAAGTCCCACAATCGTGTGACGTCTCGATGTCCATCAAGTTAGAAGAGAATCTTGATACGGCGCAGATCAGTGCAGACGCGGATTCATTACCTGCATGCAGTGAGAATCAGAGTAAAGGATATGGGCAAGGGGCTGAATTGCAAATGCGACATGGAAAAGAGGGTGCTGCGATGTTCTCTGGAAAACTAAACAAACAATGTTCGAACAAAATAAAAAGTAAAGCGTAGTTATGGTATGTATAGGAATATGTCAACAGGCCCGTGCCTGTAATGACTGAACATACGTTGGCTGATGCGAAGTTAGCTTGTTGCTCCGGTAGGAAGCCACTGGCTAAGCCGAAACCAGCTCAAGGTTCAAAAGTTTACTGTAATTATTTATGTATATTTATGTTACATTCCTTGAAAAAAATCGCTTAAGTGGAAAACCACCTGTTTGTAGAGGACATTTATTATCCCTAGGGGTCATGCCATCCACGTTGGCCCATGATTCTTCCAGGGAGTGTACATGGTTCTTCCAGGGGTGTTGATCAAAAGCCACAGGCAGCCAGGTGTCCAGCTGGAAAAACCAGTCGTATGGTACTCTGGTACACCACTGTCCCCGCCATGTGTGGGCAACATGCTTCGCTTTTTCAGAGGGCACGACCCGCCAGTGAGTCGCAAGTGGTTGCCATGAGCGATTGGTCCGCTTGCCCCACTTAGGATTACACTCTCACTCGCTAACATGGTCATGGATGGCACCCCCTGTTCATAGAGCAAAATGGTCTTCCCGGGGCTTGTGCCATCCACTTCCATGTGAGTGGGTCAGAGTGTAACGTCCTTTTTACTCCCTTCGGTCATCAAAGGTCTTCTTCACTTCCTCGACGGCCGTTTTCAAGCGTGGGGAGAGTTCGGAAGTCTTGGCAGCCTTTTGCGTGCTTTGCCTACACCCTCAACAACACCTGGACCTCTAGGGACTGCAAGCGGTTTGTAGAGGAAACATGGAAACATATGCAAACTAATTGCAAACAACTAACATGAATCATTGCCCCAAAGACATTGCTTCGCAAAGAGTCTCAGGCCAGGCCAATTGGCCGAACCCCGAGGAACCCCGAATCCGGAACTCCACCGGGCACCTGATACCTCGCATACGCGGCTCGTGCGCTGGCTGGGGCATTCGGATCTGGTGCCTGGCGAGCAGAAATGACGAGGAATGTGACACCAGCAATCCAATCCACACTGCAAAGATCGTTGTCTGGAGCGGGACAAAGATGGGCCAAGTGCACCATGCATGTTGGACCTGACGGGTTTCTCCAACATGTATTGAGGGGGTGCACTGCGGTCTCAAGGTGTCAAGGCTTCACCGCCCATTGAAACATGTTTGAAGTGGTGCAAGCTCTTGAATTCAAACACTGAGCACCATGACCTCCCTAGCAAGCTGAGCCAGGCAAAGGTCACTTGATGGAGGAAAGATCAGTTTAATCACGAAGTTCTTCTGGCACGCGTCGCTATCATAATCTGATAATCTTCCAATTCTGGTAACCTGGCTTCGATTTCGGGTCCAGGTGAACCTCTCCAACCCTTGCAGTCCATCTCGGGCTGATCTTTCTTTGCCCCTTTTTCAAATCACGGGAGCTTCAAGCATGCAGGGTGGTTTATCTTTTTGGCTTGCCAGAAAAAAAGAAGCAAGCAAGCAATGAAAAAAGATACATTTTGATCTGCTCTTCCACAGGCGTCTGCTGCCACTGTCAGGCTGTGTCACAACTAACCTCGGGAAACAAACTCTATGTAATTATACCATAGTTGATGAAGACACCACCGAAGATAGATACAGTACTTCCGCAGTATTTACACATCAAGAACTCACTGCCTGATCCAAGAGTATCTGAACCTCTTCTCTCCTGGATCCGGCGAAGTCCGTCGTTGAAGGTTTTCAGGCAAATGATTTTCCTCTGGGGTCAATTGTCGAGGTTCCGTGTTAGTTTTCAGACATGTGCAGAACGTACTCTTTCAGTCTTTCAGACTGTTTCTTTGCCAACCGTGCCCGACCTGCGCGAGGCAAACGTTGTGCAATATATAGTATTCTATTGGCGGGGGCAGAAAGGCTCGTTGACCTGAAACAGGTTGAAAGCGCTTATATAAACTTGGCTATATTGTTGTTCTACTGATCAAACAAACATGGTATACAAATCGTCCTGACTTGCCTCCATGGTATTGTAATGAGTAAAACATGGTGAATCCCCCTTCTCAGAATTTGTGAATTTTGCTGTAATCCTTTGTATATCCCAGACAATCCGCGAACGCCATAGCAGGGACACGGATCCAGCAGGGGTCCAGACACCCGAACCACCCCCCTTCCATTTGAGGATATACGACGAACATCACATGGAAGTTGGAAAACGACTTTCCTCTAGATGTCCACTTCCATGTTAGTGAGTCAGGGATATTCAGGGTGTAGATGTATAGTGGATGGAGAGTAGATGGCACAACCCCCAAGTTTGGTGGTTTGTATGGACCTGTATATCAAAAACCTGGGGTGTCAGTTCCATCAAGCCTCTGAAACCGTGTTGCTGCATTGCCAAATTGCTTGGAACCTGTGCGCTCCTGGGCGCTGGGAAGAAGGTCAGCACCGCCTGTCGCTCCTGGAGCTCCGGCGGGTTTCGGCCGATGCTCGGCTGACACGTCCGATCGCTCCGTTCGAGTCGCGATGCCCGACATGTTCGGTTCGTAGCGAACCTTGTTACTAGTAGTCAAGCCACTTCTTGTTACTTGGAGAAGATCATACGATTTACTAGGCTGACTGGGTTTTATTCATGGTCTGCTGTAAGGGATGAAGGAAGAAACTTCCTGAAAAACGTGTTGGCAGCTATTTGGCGATCAGTGTTCTCTACAGGGAACGTGTACTTACAACTTACAACCGTTAGAACATGTCAGAGCATCATATTGTGCTGAGCAAGTGAGTCCTCTGCTCCATCAGATTAGCTTATGTTAGCTTCAAGGAACCCCCTACAGAAGTTCTTAGCGTGAGAAACGGCAATCAGCTAGCTCCTCATGAAGAAACCACTCAAAAAATGACCAACACATCATGGAAAAGCAATAAGCTAGTCAGCTAGTGTAGCAAATATGATCTAATTGCCAAACTCCTTGCATATGCCTGCCTTTCAGCCTAATATAATATACTGTATGTGCATCGTATGATTTTGGTTACTGCAAGTGGGAGGTGAGCTAGGGTGTGGTCCGAGGGTAGCCCGGAAAGAAACCCACCTCATCTCAGCAGAGACACCAGCCAACATACTGTGTTAGTCGGTCTTGTTTGGTTGACCACAGATGGGTGGCCGTGGTCATTGAACTTGGTGCACACTCCAGTTTCAAGGCATGCCATGCTTGTGTGGGGTAAAAGTCAACAAGGGACTTCCGATCAAACATCAGCTTTTCCATGCTTTTCCACTGGTGTCTTCATAAGCTCCTCACCGAGAAAGACGAAAAAAATACACACACAAAATCACACAAACACGCAAAGGTGGGGTAGGTCAGGGAATTCGTGCTGGGTCACCTCGTTTTGGACACCAACCCACCCTGGTTGACCGGGGAGTCTCACCTCCTCGCCCAAGGTCAGCAATTGCCGAGCCTCGGTGGGGTCGAAGCACGAGGGGTGTCCGAGCGCCGAGAGCGCTCGGCGCTCTGACCCGGCGGATGGGTGATATGGTGGAGATGATCTACTTGATATGACATATGTTCTTCATCTTAGATACCATAATGATATGAATTGTATGAAGATTTGCAGTTGCTTTGACATGTTCCCATCTTCTTCCTGAACCCAAGGATGGATGATCAAGAAACATATTTTGGAGCTAAAGTGTTCAGGCTGCAACACTTGTCAAAACACTCGAAGGCTCCCAAACATGTTCAGTTCTCTACTCTGGTGACATTCACTTCCCTTCAACAAACCTGAAAGTCAAAGCCCCCCCGAAGGGAAGCCTTCACAAGGGAAGCCTTCCCAAAAGCATCCCGAAAGGCCAGGACGTCCAAAAACATGTTTGCTGGGGTTTGCCAGCCGGTCAAGGATAGCATGGCTAGGATAGCATGTGACGCTTCCCAAAACACAAGGACGATGCCATAGTTTTTTTCCTGCAGTTGGAGGCCATCGCTCTTAGGTTGGAGGCCATCCATAGTTGTATCATGCAGGGCCGCAAGGATGACCGGATTCACTCCACCCGTCGAACATCTGAGATCTGGGCCACGACGGGATTCGGGAAGGGCACCAATTGCAGGGCCGCCTTCGAAGCCGAAGCTGAAACGTGAGATGGAGTGCATCCTAGGTCATCCAACGGGGGCTATGGATGGTTGATTTTGGCAAGCCAATGTCTTGAACCCTCCAGCTTGTAGCTTGGATACAACCCCAACACACAGAAGGTGTCAATGGATACAATCTTGCACCCCAAATCCGTCTAAATCATGGCATCTCTGGGGGAAAGCATTGCTTGCTTCCAAAACTATATATCAGACTCAGGAGGTAAGATAAGTCAATTGGTAGGCCTTTCTAGTCTCAGATCACTGTAGATAGGACCATGGCTATAGGGTAGCATGGCTGCCGGGTGATGGTGCGTGAAGCGGATGATGGATGTAGATGGGACGATGATGGCAGAGGCGATCACATCCACCCGACCTTCCACCCCACGCGCCTGCGCAGCGACCTGGTCCAAGTCATCCTCACCCTGGCGGCCGCTAGTGAAGGCTGAAGGGTCACCCGAACAAACGGTTTTCTCCGTACATGATCGTAAATGTTTTGTTGGTGGCTGGGATCCAATTACAGTAATCCCTACAGTCTTTTCCTGAACCCCACCCATGTGAACAAAACACATTGGTCCAGCACCCAAAATGCTTAATTTGGTCTTGAAATTGCACCCTGGAAAATAGTCTACCATAGATCTTCTGCGTACTGGGGTGCCTGCCCAAAAAGAACAAAGTTCCTCTCCTAAAACTCCGGATTTGCAACCCTCGTTTGGCTTCAGTTCGTCACGCAATTGCAGTATGTTCAGTTCCTTATGATTATGTGTTGCTCCGAAGTTTACAAGCAAAGGACCATAAAAAAGAAGAGGTGCGAACGCCATGAGAAAGGAAGATCCTTCGAATAACAGGTGCGACGGTTCATTCCCAGCGGTTCCCAGGGACTCCGAACGACGCACGACGCGCGTCACGACAGCATGAGGCGTGGGACGGTGTCGGGTAGCTGGGTCGCTTGGTGAAGCGCAAAGGACTCATGCTCTCTCTTGCTACTGTTCTGTCACAGAATGATTTAGTCTCCTTTTTATGAATGTTGTCAAGAACCTGGAAGGGGATAGAAACAACACCTTCAACTACCAAACAGTACTGCTCAGCAAAATGGACTAGTGGAGGAGGAGGTGATCACATATGGCCAAGCGGTCTCTATCAGAAAATCATCGCCTCATTCTCTTTTCGTCCACATAGACATATCTGGCTTTCAGAGTTCAGCGCCAAACATCTCAGGTTTCTTCAGACTCATCAAAGATGCGGTGGCTCCCGTGATTTCCTTAGATGTGCACAGGGAAATCACCCTGTGACACGCGACGTCAACTTTTGGGACATCGCACTTTCGAGGAAGAAGCAAAACTCAAAACAAAGAACACCCAGCAAATCTCAGGTATCGTAGGTATCGCCGCTCTTCATCCCATTCTCCTCCAGTTTCTTGATGAACTCTTGGCAAAAGCGTTCCTTCGCAGCAGCAATCCCATCACTCTTCAGCTTCGCAACCCAGGAGCCAGCCGCTACCATTGCTCCATCACAAGCTTCTTCAGCAGTCCCTAGTGGAAATGGGTAAGACACCTCCAGTTACATGACATCTTGATGAAGAGAACAAAGAAACAATCTGAAAAGCAAACTGCAACAAAATTACAGTATGATCCTTGGTCTTGTAAGGATCAACTCAATCCAAAAATGACTGATCAAGATCAACAAACCGAGTCACTGGCTCTTCATGCTCGAGTACCAGCAAGCCTCGAGTTTCCTCGATCAAGTCTTTCATCAGCTTCTCCTCGGCTAAGGCCAGCGGATTCACAGGCATTTCTTTCGGTTTCTCACCCGCAATCTCTGCATAGGCCTCTCAACGCACACACGAATCGGAGGAGCCAAGCGGAGTTGGGCCGTTTCAGCACCAAACTGCTCATGTACAGAATACATACCTGCCCACTAGTTTACAAATACTATGTGATACTACGCATTTAAAAATATATACAGTATATATTGATTGATACACCTTCCGTCCTCCTGCTAAACACTCAGTCTTCTGACCTCCACATTGTTCCGCAGTCTTCTGTGAGCATTGGTGGGAACAAAGCGATTGAAAAGCAAGTCGCACCTACAGTACGGCCAATTTACCCTGCCTCGACGGCGAGGGTAAAGAAAGGCATCTTCTTCCAAATGGAAATAAATGCATGCCCTCCTGCACGTAACACACGGCCAATCTCCCGCAAAGATTTTGCTTTGTCTGGGACGAACATCAAAACAAAGCTCATGGTGACGGCATCAAAGCTCTTGCTGTGGAAGGAGGATAGATCCTTACAAGGCAGCAAGCATGTCGACTGACCGAACAACCAAGCAACCAACCGACATAAAACCAACCAACGTAACACCAACCAAGCAACAGCAACAAACCAACCCCCAACAAACCAACCACAACTCCAACAGACCACCAAACCAACCAAACCAAACCAAACCAACCAACCAACCAACCAACCAGCCAGCCAGCCAGCCAGCCAGCCAGCCAGCCAGCCAGCCAAGCCAGCCACAACCAAGAAACAACCAACACCCAACAACAACAACAACAACAACAACAACAACAAAACTCGCCAGCCAGCCAGCCAGCCAACCAACCAACCAACTAACCAACTAACTAACCAACCACCAACGACCAAAAACAACAAACAACCGCCAACAACAAAAACAAACAGTGCAGTACATTCTATCGTCTAGACTGGAGAAGTGGCTTGAACACAAGTTGAGCGTGATGAGAATTACATCATACATCCCTACAAACAAGTCTTGGGGAGAAATGCAGCTACACGGGTGCGGCATTTCGTGGTATACCGTCTTTCGACTCGAGTGCGCGAGTCCCGGGTCCCACTTCCCAACACAAAGAACTTGAGCATACTAACGATATATATATATATATATCGTGTATACGAAGTGCAGCACATCCTAAGTCAACACAGTGTTGGGATATATACTAACTTCCCAAAACTAACGATATATATATATATACACACTCCAAAGTTGATCTTGTCTCACCCGTACGGAATCCGGAGCTACAAGACCGAACGACTTAACCCAGGATTTGCGATCAACAGGAACAAATTGCATGTGGTCTTTGGTATTTATTTATATAACAGCAAGAGTAAACACACTGTTTGTCAGTCCAAACATCAACCAAAAGACGCATAGCCCTCAACATCTATCGATACCGCTTGGGGTTTAGTACAATTATAATATAATTGTACCATCCATAGATCACGGTGAACAAATTCCACACTTAGATATTCTTGGGGTCAACGGATGTTATTTTTGTTTTATTTTTTGTTACATAATACAAAAATCAAAGGACCTAAGATGAGAATGTCATTGCAGTACAACTACTAAAAAGAAAAGAATTGTCAGCCATCCGCTGTATTCCCATCTAGATGAGGATCATCCGCGGAGTGCACGCTGAAGTCAAGGTTCTTGACCCCTTCTGCTCGCTTTTTGGCCTTTTCAACCATCGCCTCCTAACGAAGGTACATGTTTCAGAGGCCGGTGGCTATAACTAGAACCAAGGATCTATCTGGAAAAAGTGCATACTTGGGGTAGTTGGCAGTTGGCACTCAAAATTCAAAGTTTCCTAATGTCTCTATGTAGATACCATCCATCTCTGTCGTGGACATACCCAGCAATGGTATTTCATGGAGAAGGCGTGGATCCACCATTGTTGTCCAACCAAACACCTGGAGTACCTCCTCGAAACGTTGACCTGGAAAATGTACGTAGAATTTCTGCGCGATGATGTGACCGGCGGTTGGAAGATCCCAAACAGGAGGGCAAACAAACGTCTGTGACGAAAGCAGCATTAACATGAGCAACAAAGTTCTTACCAAGTTCTGACAAAGCAATACTAGACTTCAACGACAAAACTGAACAAACCCAGGTCATCCACCCCAAAAAATCACTTCCTGAAGATCCGTCGCATGGACTTTGGCTGAAGGCAACGTCTTGGCGATCAGCAAGGAGGGCTGGCCCGGACCGGTGCCCAGGTCCAAAACATCTTTGGCATGCACCTGGACCACCTTCTCCTTGGTTCGGGGATCTGAAAAGGGCGGGACATAGGGCAAAATCAGGCGAAAGGGAGCCTGCGAGACGAGTAGTTTGATGAGGGAATGGGCTGAAATTACATCAGTGTATATCTCAAGAAGACTTCGTTGGTTGTTTCAGCCAATTAGGCCTGCTTCATCCAAACCGACAACAAACCACAAAACCACATCCAGAGCTTGCACATGATCTCCCTCAGTTCGATCTCTGATCCAATGATTCAACGACTCTGGACTCATTGTTCACATTATGAGTCACACCTCATTGAGTCTTTGACCTCACACAGGTCCCGGAATCGGCGCACACACTGGAGCGATTGTCGGGTGCTGCTTATGTGTCGTTGAGTTTACTGTCTTTTGCTGCTGTCAATGCTGAACATGTGACAATTCTGACCATGCGGCACGTGAAGGTGGTTTGGGTTCTGCATTGGCCCATCCCGTAGCAGCACCCAGGATCATATAAACCATTGTAAACTCCTTACTTGAGGGGTTCGACCTAGGCGTTTGAGACCCTTTTGAGGTCATGAGAGACATTTCAACAAAGTGTTGGCACCTTTTTGTCAATTGCAGCAAAAGTCCCGTTTGCAAACACGAGAGGCAGGAAAACAAGTCAAAACAAACTGCATGCATAGGGCGGGCATTGGGTAAATGCTTAAAATTGGTAGAGTGTCCATTTTGTGAAGCTGATCTTTGCACAAAGCCTCACAGTGTCCATGTGGCAAGGCGGCAAGACCCATTTTGTAGAGGAAGTTGCTGCAGCCAAGTGTCCGTCATCTTCTCAAACATGGGCCAGTTCACCATGAACAGTTTCTCGTAGATGTTAGCATCAATCGCCCCATGTATTCTCGCAAAGCGCGTTGCCACCAAGCACAGCAAAAGCTGCCAGGTCGACATGGGACCGAACATCGACTGCTTTAGGCTTGCATATACAAGTTCATGGTTAAAAAAAATGTGTTCATTGATGTGTCGGTAGATAGTAATGAAGACGCACTTGAGGTTGAACCAAGTCCTGCATCATCTGAGCCTCTGCCAACATGAACACCCACCCGAGCAACCTCTTCATGAAAAGACTACAGCAACAAAGTATGCCCACTATATAATCTTCTTGTGAAAGGAGTCCAACTTTCCACCCACCCGCGCACACACACACACACACGGACTTGCGCTGTCTGAGCGCACCCTTCCATCTCCCTTGAGGTTTGGCCTGGGATGAATGGGGACTTAGAATTCTCATATCGCACGTAAGAAACACCGGACAAATCCAACGATTCCTCCTTTTCCAAGCAAGCACACCTGCAAAGGAATTGGCGAGGTATGCGCGGCACCCAGCAGAATTGGCGAAGTATGCAGCGCAGGCGTGTGCGCTGATGGAGCTGGTGTGGCCTCGCCGGATGTCTTTCATGCGGGAGAAATCGCGATTAGTAGCCACAAATGCAGCAAGAAACTCATGCCGGAGACCTGCCAGTGTCTTTACAAACATTTCCTCTCCAATGTGCTTTAAACTCTGGCACATCCCATTGACCTCACTGTCGGGTGATTACATTATACTGTATATATATATATATATACAGTATAGGCCAATGCAAGAACTACCAGCCATCAGGTAGTCCCCATATGCCCCACCCTCCCGGATCATGTGGCGGTTCAAACCCTGGATGTGTAGATGAATCCATAGGGAAGGAACCCGGAAGGAGCTACCTTATGCTTTTTGGGCCTTTGGGTACTGGTTGGTTTCTTTTGTACCGCTCAAAACTCTGGTGAAATGGTCAACACGTAACATACCGGCAACATATCCTTGAAAGCACAGCTGAACACATCACTGATGCCCTAGCCCTAGCCCCCCCCAAAAATGCTATTTTGAGACATGTCTGGTGCCTCAATGTTTTGTAATCCATGGAGCCAAAAGCCTGCGGCTTCTAACCCAACAATCGCAACAAATCTCATCCCTCATCCAAGCTGGAAAAAGCCGCGGCCCCATGGTCGTTGTGAAGAACCTGTTCGGAACGTCCCACCAGATTCGTCTTTTGGCCACGTCCGCAGTAATCTCCATGTCGATCAAATCCTGATCGGTCCCTGGCCCATCCAGTGTTCCCCCACCTCACAACCTGGAAACTTGAAGACCATATCGCAAGCCGACATAGCCCATGAGCGAGACATGGCCTCATCTTCGATGCCGGCATTCAGGTCCATGGGCATCACATCCTCCTCACCGTCGCCTGCAGAACATCCCGTTTTCGGGTCAACGTGATGAAGTTGAACATCGTATCCATACGAAGATCCTGATGCCATATCAAATAATATTAAATTGATACAGTATTGGTATCAATCCTTGCACCCTGTTCCTGAAGATACCCAGAAATAAATAGAAATAGGCCTTCCAGCAGGGTAATTAATGTAGTGTCGATCCAATGTTCCAACATGTCCCAACACCCATTTGTTGAACATGATCTTTATCGAACCAACTTCATTGTTGCAGTGCCCATCAACCTAAAACCATTGAAAACCACTGCCACCCCAGCGACCCCGCCCTCCACAAGACTTGGCTCAGTGTTTTGGGCGGTCATGGCGCGCGTGTGCCATGGCGGAGATGCGGAGAGCATCGTTCGCCCCAAAGCAGGACTAGGAACACCGACATAAGTCATCTGCGTGATGCCCAGTACAGCATGGATACCTACCCCCAAAAAGATGGGACCAAAACAAATCTGCTGGGTCCAAGTCCTCTTGTACCCAATGTATCTCAGTCATCTTGGGTCCCTGGGGCGCGAGAAGATTCGTCATTGGATTCTCGAGCGAACTGGAATTTGCTCGGTCGAAAAGAGGGACGCTGATTCGCGACGCTGATTCGGGGCATGACGGGACTGAAACATGTTCAAACCGTAGCATCATGTCTGGCTGTGAGCAACGCTGTAGACCTCAATGAGAAAAACACTGATGATTTGGAGATCTTATATACTGCATATATATATTATATTTAAATAAGTATATTAGTTTGCTGCTAAACATATATATATATACTGTATCTTCATATATATTCCTTTACTTTACCCCTGCACCTTTGTTGGGTGCGTCACATGATCCACAAACTTTGCTCCCCTCTGCTCTCCGCTGTGGAGACCACAGCTCACTCCAGCGTGTCCAAACCCAAGACCTTTGCCTGGATCGGCAAGGATATCTGACGCAGAAAGCTTGCTGAACTATTCATAACAAGTCTAACATCCGACATGTTTCATGTTAGATATGAATCATACAACAGTCAAAGTAGTCAATCATATTGCTTGGATATCACAACATCTCTATCAGCTCTAACATTAGTGTTCCATTGTGGGCAATTATCCAGAACCTGGGGCTCTAATGAACTATACTATACTCACTATTTCTCCCTAGAACATCTCAGAAACAAAACATGCCAAAGGAACTCTGGAGCCCTGTCACTTCTCAGTATATAACCTCATCTCCCTGATATGGACATCAACGAATGGATTTCACACCACCCCAACAGGTCTGACAGGCTGTTTCACTCGCTGGGTTGTTGAGACGTTGAGGCACATGTCATCCACCTGCACGGACCTGCATGGATTGATTCGTTGCTGAACTGTACTGTTGGATCTTATTCCCCGCGGAGCGTACGTAGGAGATGTAAACCCCTGCCTAGTACACAAAGAGGGAGTAAGTGAATGGAGAGGTGGATCTCTGCATAGAGAGAGAGAGAGATCCTTCCATTCGGAGCTAAGTCCCTTGAACACCATGAGTGTTAAGGTCAAACCAGCTTCCGGGGAGCAACTGAGTTAAGCCACAAGAGTTCTCTAATCTGGAGACGTGTCCAGGGATATAAGTTCTTAATGCCTTGCTAGGCGTGTCCATGCTTTCAAGATGTGCGGACTTGAGTGGATCCGTGACTGCACGAACAAAACAGGTTGTCCAAGTGTTGTTCCTGCAAAAATGTAAGCTTGTCAACAACTTGATGAAATAGTGGATCGAGTGGCTTTGAGTTGCGCATGATAGTGAACTCAGTCAGGTATAGTCAATTTGGGGATCGTGCATCTTTGAGAAGTCTAAAGCCTCAAGCCATTGCAAAACATCTTTTTTGAAAAAGTTTTGCGACACGAAACACACGAATGTCAGTGCAACAGCTTCCCAACATACCTGTTAGCAAAGAACATCAAAGAACCATGTGTCATTACCAACACTCATGACTGTTGTTGAAAGCTCAAGATCCAGTCCCCCCAATCAGCGTCTCTGCGGAGCACCGTGATTACTTACAGTTACCATCCATTGCGGGGCTTGCTGGCTCCGCATGTAACTACCGTGCTAAAAATCAAAAACATGTTGAATTTAATCATCGTCTGATTTCACAATGCCTGCCTGGGCTGGAGTTGTGTTGCTCTCCTGGCGCACAGTTCTTGGATGCTCTTGGAAATGATCTTCAATGTGTGCAAGTCGGGGTTGAGTCACCCGGGTTTGCAAAAAGTCACCCGGCCGCTGGAAGCGCAGCATTAGTCAAAAGTCACCCGGCCTGCGAAAAGTCACCCGTTTTATGTTACAACACCAGGGAACGGAGACGCTCTACGGAAGTATGCTTGCCAAAACTGCTGTACATCAAGAATTCATTGCCCCTGCACACAAAACAACTAGATGTCTGTCGAAGTTTGCAGCGTTTGGGGGACCGAAACCCAATCAGAACGCAACGGTAGGACTATCATGAAGATTAGCATGAAAACATAGATGCAGCATGCTGACACTACACGAATCTTTTCTACTTGGCCGTCTCAAATAGATTTGAACGAGTCGGCGAATCCAACACTCGGCGGTCTGGCTAGATTGATTTAAACAAATCAAATGAACTTTGCAAAAACATTATTTTGTCGGAGGCATGGCTACACTGGCGCGAGTGCCGCGCGAGTCTTTTCAAACCTGACGTGAGTGCCGCGTGCGAGGTATCCACCTACCCACGTCGATTATCTTCAAATCATTTGTTGTTCATCTTCCCTCTAACCTGCATGGAAACGAAGCATCCAAACAATGGTGCTAAACTGATACTCCAAAGCTTATCTCCTATGTATATTGCCATCTTGCACCAAAACCGCATGGAAACGAAGCATCCAAACAATGGTGTTAAACTGATACTCCAAAGCTTATCTTCTATTTATATTGCCATCTTGCATCAAAACCGCATGGAAACGCAGCATCCAAACAATGTTGTTGACCTGATACTCTTGCAGTTATATTGCCATCGTGCATCAAACCCGAATGGAAACGCAGCATCCAGTGGTTTTCGAATCTCAAGGTGCCCAAAGAAATGTAAATGAAATGGAAACGGGCAAAACTCTTGCCCCACTGCTGAGTACTGTGACCTTGTAATCTCAGAAGCATTCTTTTCCACGTGGCATAGAAACAAGATGAAACAAGCAAGTAAGTAGGTTCAGGGTTTGTCTGAGAACAAAACAATATTCGCATCACGATCATCATGCCGCGCATTAGCCTCACGTGTGGAAGTTCTGGTGGAAACTTTACAGCTTTGTCCCCCGCTCCCTGCTTCCCTTCCAAAGATCTTCAGAGCCCTCTCCTGCTTATTCAGCGTCTCAAGAGCTTCCTTTTTGGACGACAAGAAGTACAAGGACCCTTTCTTCAAGTAGACCTGGCATGCCCAGGTCTAAGACCAAAGGACTCTCATTAGGGACAGGCGCAACATGTTGGCAAGCACGTTCGTCAAAGGGTCTTCGCCGTCTCAAAACTCGAACCTCACCAGCGATTCACAGGGTGGGTTGCCCAAAAAGGCCAACCTGATTGGCATCTGAGTCGTTTGAGTCTTGTCAAGGGTATATGAAAATGTCAAAAGAACCTAAATACCATTGACAATTGTGCCCGGAATTTAAAGTTACATACAGTAGAACAAAGCTGAAGGTGCACGAGTTTGGCGGTGTGGAGCCGATCTTGGGGATTCATCCGGAGCAGTACGCTAGGAACCTTAGCCGCTAATAGCCGATCTTGGGAAGGTGCCCCCTTTCTCTTTTTGAGCTGGCAATATACTTATAACATCTTATACCTTTAATCAACTCAACTGGACCTTCTGCATAAACAAACATTCCACTTAGGTACCAGCAAACAGGAACAATCGGCCACTGTCCGACAGCTCCTAGTATGGAGTTTATCGGATTGATCGCTTAATATTGTCATCACATTAATCTACGTGTGCTAGGCATATCACAAAAGGTTCATGTACAGTATATTATAGATTGGGTCTATCCTAATACCAGTCTGCAGTGGATGATGATGGTTAGAAAAGGCCTTGTTCAAACATAGTGACAATTGTTTACTGACTGTTACAGGTATATAATAGGACAGACAAGAATTATAGATCTGAACATATTCTACCCCTGCGGTGCACAAAAGCTTCCTCATTCAACAAGTGAGCCATTGTTCCCAAGCCGAGGCCCTTACAACACAACCAACTTCTCCCATTCCGCTTCCCTGTGCAACATGTAACTGCCTTCAAAAACATTATTACAAATTGCCAATTGAAATTACATTTATTTTATTCCCTGGCTACCCTAACTATCAAGCGCAAACTCGGTTTTGCTTTTGGTTTCAAAAATGTCGATCTGCGACTACGCCGTGACTATGCTGAGTTTGCTTCACTTGACTCGCCAATGACAAACAAAACGAGCTCAAGAACTGGTTTGTTGCCCGACCTTCTTCAAGCCCACTGGGACAAGTCTGAACACCAAAGTTATGTGATATGATAAATATGATATGCATTTAATGGTTGCAATGGAAGGAGGGCAACCAGCATCACCCAACTCTGACTCTGATTCCTACGCAACTGTCTTCATGTAAAGGGCCCAATCCAAACTCTGATGCTCCAACTCCAACGTGAAACTCCAACACGGAGGTTCACAACATTGAACATGATTCAAGAAATAGCGATCCCAAAATAGATCAAACAGCGACTCCCCTTTGAACATATTCTGCTCGCTGAAGTGAGGCCCACTTCCATGAAAAATCTTGCTGTTGGGAATCGTCAGCCTACCAAGTTGAGGAACTACATAATACATGTACACCTCCAATTGAAATCCACCAACTAAATGATGGATTGATAATAATTTTGGTGGTGAAACAAACATGCGACCTTGCAAAATCATAATATCAGATTACCCCGTCCACTCCCAATTTCCCACTACACATATCTAGAATTGAAGTGGCAGGGGAGGGGCTCTCCTGACCCTTTTTCACGCAGCTCGCGGACCAAGCCTGGCGCTTCTCACAGCTGGCGCTTTCAAGCTCATATCTCGCCACTTCCGCACTGGTCTGGGTGCGGCTGGAAAGGGCTGGGCGGATTTCCAAGGCTTAAACATGGCTTAACAAGTCTGAGCTCAAATGCTTATATAAGGTGTTTGATTTCTCTCATCCACAATGGTGGAGTTTTGGTAAGGAACTTTTGCTATTGTATCTCAGGATCACATGAATAGAAAATGGCACAAAAATTAAACATAACATAGTCTGGTTGGCTTCTGAAGCGTTTAAGTGTTCAACAGTTGAATCCTGCTTTAGGATGACTCGAATGATTCTCCTGTATCCACAAAATGTCGCATGTGCCTGCAGATCTTCAGTGCGCTATAGCAAATCAAGTTAAAAGTGACAGCTTGATCAGCTGATTGTAGCACATCAGCTGATTGGGTTGTCTCGACAGTCAAAGACAGAGTGAAATTTGCATCAATCGTGTCATGGACTTTTGCCTCAAAACCATCGTATCCGCCGGCATCCGGCATCCGCGAGCTGTGCTGGGAACCCTCGCGTTGTGGCTTGCAGGTGTGACATCCTGTCGAGGCGGCAACACTGCGACTTCGAGGGCTGAGTTCATGCACGCATAGGCACACAGACATACACATACAGGATCTTCAGGTGCTCCAAGGAGCCCAAAATGAAGGACACAAAAGCAAACAACATGCATGCCACTGATGCACAAAACCATGGGATGCACGTCCGAAGAAACAGACCGTGACCCCTCGGAAAAAGTGGCCCCAAACGGTGGGAAACCCAAACGGTGGGAAATCCCATGTGGGTCGAGTCCCCATATCCGGTGAACATGCCCAACGTCCGTGCGGTATGCTTGGCCTTGGTGGTGAACAAAGTCGGATATCCTGTGGAACTGTTGAAGTACCGTCAGGCGCTTTGGCACCTCAGAACTCCATTCGAACGTCGCAGCTGCGCCCCGCACCGACGGAGCTGCGCCTGGATCAGCCTCGCATCAGCCTGAGGGAGACCACCAAGGTGACAACTGCCATGGCCATCCTGACACATGTCATCCAATGTTACAATGACAAGGACCCCATGGACAACATGAAACATGCATTAGCTGAATATGATTGAATATGATTGAATCAGTCCTGTTGCGCAAAGGTATGCCCCTTGTGGGCGCTCACCTTCTACCACATTCTACCACCATTGAATATGAAGGGATGCAGCTCCGATGGAAGGAGCCTGAAGGAAGCAGCTCCAGCCACCGTTTTCTCTTTGGGATCGACCCTCCACCACGATCCCGCTCCGGTCCATGTGCAACCCCAATATCCGGCCTTTGGAGCCATGGCAGCTACTGCCGAGTTCACGTGAGATGTAGGAGGCTAGCGCTGTAGGAGCCACGCAGTCTTTTTGGGGTTTGTTTTCCGTGGTCTTGGTGTTGAAAAGAAAGAGTCCTTAGTGGTGGAGCAAGTGGAGACATTTTCCTATATGTTTTGCTCTCCATTGTGGGACTTACACCTCATAGCTTAGCCGCTCAGCCTGGCGAGCAATTCGGTCTTCGAGTTTGGAAGACATGAGCTGTGAAAAGAGTGAGTGACACTTGTAAGCGAATATATAAGTAGTCAAACAAGTATGCCAAGGGCATCCAGGGCCAAGGTGAACCGATCGTAGACAAAGAAAGCATCAAACTGACCAGTTGCCACACTCAGAATGTTTGGCAAGTGCTTGAGTCGGGCAAAGGAAGGCTTCAGTTGCGGCGGAAGTAGTTGTGTTGCTTGCAAGCCTTAACCTTCCAGACAAGTCTATGCAGCCTGGTCGCAGGGCGCAAAAGAATTCAGATGGGTCTTAAAAGGAGGCTCAAAGTGGATTGCACAGACGACAAATTCATTGACCATTCAAGTCCCAAAATAAATACCTTCAGGATTGCAAGTTGGCAGCTTACGGGGTGTGGGCTTCTTCAACTGACTCTTAGACTCGCTTGAGACGGCCCGTAAACGGTAAGCTTTCGGTGGTAAACGTCTCCCAGCAAACGGTCAATGGAAGGTGAATGAAACTGGGAGACACCCAACTCAGACTTACACTTCCTGAAATCATCCATGGGTACGTGGATGGAATGGCCATGAAATCCGAATGCCAAAGAGGTGGTGACCTCACTCCACTTCCCTGAAAGATGTCCTGTGAGTGTCTGTGCTTTAAAATTGTTGTCAGCTGTCTTGTTTCTCTCTTGCATTGATCTCACTCTTTTGAAGTCCTTCAGACCAGTCTACCAGTCTTGCAGCTTCGAGTCAACCCTCCGGCCTAGCATTTGCACATCCTCTTCCTCCTCCACCTGGATGAAGGGTGGAGGTCCAGTCAAATCAGCGACAACGGGTTGTCCCTAGAATCCGCCTCTGACTTGAATTGGCATAAACGATCTTTTACATAATATAACATAACTGCAAAATAGCAGAAATTGCAACAAGTACATAATGTAAAATAGTTGTTTTCTATGCTTTGTTTCATGAGCGTCCAATCCAAAATGGTGGATGTCGATCATCTCTTCTGGAGCTACTACAACTAATGTTGACCTATGATTAATAAAGGGACCCAGAATAAAGTTAGCTGATCTGCGCCCTGATTAATAAAGGGACGCGAAATAAAGTTAGCACGTTCTATTTAATTCAAATTGAATTCCAATTCAATTCTAATTTGACTATATTAATTCACCTTTATTTAATATGTGTTTTAGTAAGGGGGCATTTCATTCTATTTCATAGTTATTTCTTGGAACCTGGGATGAACTTTATTTAGGGTTTCCTAAGAATTTCAAAATTTGACAGTACATTTATGTATCAGAGGTCAACATTAGGTACTTGAAAACACCTGTCCTTTGATTACTGTAAATAGACCAATGTGCGCTTCTCCCAAATATATATATATATATAACTATAGTATCTCAGCATTATAGGATCTCAGCACTCCCGCAGCGGTTGGTTCAACAAAAGACTGTGCCGTTGGTTCGGACGGGAAGAGTTTGCTTCAACCAAAGGCTGTTTTTTTTGCCTCCCGCATGCCTTCAACCAATGGTTCAGTACATGGCCTCCCCAAATTGAGACATGTGGACATGCCTCCAAAGGCCTGCAAGATGTGTCTCAAGGGATTCTCCTTGGAGAACTTCTGGGGTAGGCAAACTCAGACTGCTATGCATAATGTATATATGTAGAATTGATCTGAGATGGCTCAAGTTTGAGGAGGCTTCGCATGTAGTTTTAACATGTTTTAACCTCGTCTAAACTTGTTGACATCCATCGCATGAATGTGCTCGAAACCAAACCAAGAAGCAGGGACGACAGGTTTGCTACTATCCACACCATGCGTTTGAGTTGATGGAGGCTAGCCTAGATGAAACATGTGTTTGCATACACATCCGTATCACAGAACCAGAATATAAAGCATTCTGATTGAACTTCAAATCGCTGGCCAATTGAGGGATGCTTGGACAGCCCCGGGTCCGGAGGCGCCTGCGGCTTGTCTGAAAGCGCCACCAGCGGAAGAGTATCAAAGTCCAAGTCTCAGTTGGGCGACAGGCTCAAGGCCGTTCCGAAACGCGTTTGGTTCGTCGAAATCAACGGTTTTGGTGGGTGTCGGTCGAAGTTCCTCTTCGGGAGACCGGTCGAACTGCCGAAGCGGTCGAATCAGTCCTTCTGACCCCACGGGTCGAACTGCTGTCCACAGGGGCGGGAAGAGGTTGTGTCCCGTGAGGGGCTTCCGGTCGAAAATGGTTCTCTTGAGATCAGGGGGCTTCTTTCTCTTCCAGTCTAGGAGACAGCATGCTAAATTAAGTGCCTACGATATCGTTATTTATCATGTTACTGTTATTACTTAGTGAAAATATGAAGACAGCTGCACTATTGCATACCTGAGCAGGTGTCGAAAATCTAGTCATTGATACATCATTTATCATAAGTTGTAAATACCTGGCCGTACATATGTCAAGCATTCCTAAAACATCCTAAAACAACAAAATTTGTATAACTGTATACTGATGCACACACAAAAAAGGGCAAACAAAACATCGACATTGCACGCAAACAAAGTCACACCCGCCACAATCAAGCAAACATAAACCTCCACAGAAAACTACTGTTCCACGTCTTTTTCAACACACCAGACTGCTCCACACTCTAACAGTCCAAAAAAGTCTCAACATGATTGATGACATTGGTCAAGGTAACTGTCTACCTCTATTTGCTATGGAGCAGGAAAACATGATGTGTTGTTTGTGTTTTCTTGGGTTGCACAATGCCTCTGGCTAGTAAATCAACAGGAACACAGGACATATATGGTCTTGAACTATGCTATATCTGCCCGTCATGTGCACTGCGAGTCATGTTCAAAACAATGTTCAAGTTAAGCTTGAGAGAGTGTAAGAAAGCCTGATTCAGAAAGGAAGTGTGAGTGAGGCAAAGTGAACTATACATGGAGAACTAGACACATCCAGTCTAAACATGCAGGTTGAAGCTCAAAAAGGTAGTCATTGCACCTGGGTGAACCCCCTTGCAGTTTCTTAGCAAACAATTCCTACAACCAAATATGCCACGCAGGGAGACCAGTTTTACATCAACGAAGCTTGCCAACCCGAACGGAACACGTAACATCCAACTTGCTGTGTCCACTGGGTCTAACCGTTACTAACCCCACCACAGTGACCAGCCAGTCACTTCTTTTGGCCACTGGACCGTTGATGGAGGTCTTGGAGTCCAGCTCCTGGTGAAAACCGGAAGAGCGCCGAAAAAAGAGCTGAAGGTATCAGAAATCGTTCCAAAAATAGTTAAAGAAGAAAAAACAAATCTAAAGGTCTAAAGAAAAATGAAAAATAACATGTCAAATAAGCATTATATCGCCATAAACCATCTTCAAGCTGTGTGACCCTGGTTTAAACACCAACTTTTGGGGGGGCCAAAGAGCAAATATCTTCTTGTCCGAGATAGGGCTCAAACATGGTTTAGAACCGATCTCGAAAGGTGGTCGAGAAAAAAGATCACCGAAATACACTTATCAAATCAAAACAGGGCTCAGAAAGTTTTAGAAGCACTTCTCGGATCAAGACAGGGTGTCGGATATGAAAACTCTTCCAGTCTCAAGAAGTCAGAACTCGACATCCCGAGGTCAAAAGGTTGCGGGAACCAGAGATCAGAGATTATCAAGGTCCACTAAGTGGTCTCAAAGCAGCAAACGTCTTCCAAAAGTATTCGTGAGTGTTCACTGGTCTACCAGGGGTCGTGACATACATCGATATGCTGTCCACATATTTTGTCCACTAATCTAATTCTTAATGATACCTCTATCTTTTCCGATGCAACTTCCCTAAAACAAGCCCTGCCGAACCATGATCTGTTCCGCTGCGCCTCCAAAGCGCTCTTGGGGAGGACCCTCTTCCGCACCGCGCGCATGACCTCCTGAAGGATGGCACACGCTTTTCGGCAAATCGTGTGAAGTGTGAATTGGATAGATTTGGAAGGTCAGTCTGGCTTGTGGCTGGGTATTCCTTGAGAGTGCTTCCCATCCCGGGTCTCATCAATTGCAACGGTTGAGTCACCTTGAATCCGAATATGCCAAACTGCATAGAAGGTCATAGACACGTTTTTTAATGGGCCTAATTGCATGTGTCATATTCCTTCATGAATGCCACAAACAAACCAAACGATCTTACCACATTGTCACATGCCTTCTTCCCAGGAACGTATAGTATCCTTCATTGCAACAAAAGCTACCACCAGCCATGCAATGGGAACAGCAAGGCCATTCAATGAGGTGATTGACATTTGAACATCATCTATATATGTATATAGATATACAATTTAGCGCGACTATCAGATCATAATATTATGAATCGTCGCTGACATCGTCGCTGGTCACGTTTGGGGCACGAACCCGGGCTCGCCCCGGCTCGAATCCCGGCAAGGCCCAGCTCAGCTGGTGAGATTCCGACTCTGAAGTACCTGTCAGTGGTGCTAAAGTTCTGAAGTCCGGGACTTGCATGAGTTGAAAGGCGATCCCACCAAGAAATGATATTGTCCCATACCAAGCATCACACATATTTGGAGCACCTTGGTTCTTACCACCACAAAACAAAGCTCCTCTGACACACCCACTGACTCAGCCAAACCGCCCCTCCTCTAGCTCGATTTGAGACAACGAACCAAAGAGGTCATCGTTCTCTTGCAATGACCTCAACAGCTGTTGTTTCTTTCCGGTGAAAGCCATCCCGTCCCGCCCTGGCCGATGAAAACCCCGGTAACTAAGAGAATATAGAGACCGGACGTTTTTCTACCTCCGACCCATACTTCTTAGTCTTTTCGGATCAACCATCATGTGATCGACTCGTTCACTTCCTTCGGTCCCAATTCAACCAGCTCAGGAGCCTTGCAATGCACGACCAACGATAGTCTGACAGGACAACCCGAAGCATGTGACACGTACCGGGACACGGACCGAGTCTAGTGTGCGGGATTCAATTATTTGGTCAGGATCGAGCTGGGAGGGGTGATTCCATGCGAGTCCATACACTCTTTCTGTGAGACGTAGAATATTTTGGAAGCCTCGAGACCAAAACATCTTTCCCCGGAGTGCACAAAAGACCATCCCAACTGGTCCTGGACACGGGATCGTCTGGCGCTACATGCCCATAATCTTGACTTCTGACGAATGCCTTTTCGAGTCATTGAGGCTGCTTGGGACATGATTGATAGAGTTTGATAAAACATGATAAAACCACCCTGGCTTTGCCCCCACGAAGGCAGCAACTAGATGCCTTCTCGAGGCTTTGCCCTGGTGATCTGGCCTGGAGGCCGCCTCCCTGGGCTGCCCCGGCACCGATGGAATCGATGTCCTGCCAGAGTCCTTCAGAGTAATGTCCTCACGCGGCATTTCTTTCAGGTCGACCCGCGAGATTCGGCCGATGAGAACGGGGATTCGGCCGATGCTTCCATCCCCAGTGGGACCGGTTCTTCTTCGCATGGATTTCCACGTGCATCCCCATTCGCACGACTGGATGGGCCACGGGGCCAGGATCGCGTAACGAGTCAAGGCCGTAACGGTGGCTGCCGTCTTCCTTTGCAACGGATTTTGGGTGCCTTTTTTAAGAGGGAGGGCCACCCAAGCAAGTGGATGTTTGGGGTCTATTTTCCTTCTTCCAGGCAGTCATTGGTCCATATTGGTCCTCTTCTACGAGGCAAGGGTGCCGTCCCTTCGCGAAGGCCGTCCGTATGCTCCACTATGTCCGTCAGGCTGAACCACCTGACCTCGATGCGGGCCATGTGCCTCTTGCCACCCAAGAGAGCCTCAAGCAAGCGACGAAAGCGAGCTACCAAAGAAACCAGGTGAATGTGGAAGATCTGCCGTCTGTTCTGAGGTGGGTTTGGTTGAACATCTGTGTTGCTCACTTATTTCATCTTAGTGCAACCATGTTGCAAGGTGGAAGTTTGAACACTTAGAGTCCCTTTGTCATGCTCTCCCCTTCCAGACAGTTCCCCCCATTTCCGAACCCTATCCCAACCTCCTACACCTTATTACCATGCTGGGAAGCATCTTGCAAGCATGTTGCATTAAGTTGTATATATAGTATAAATATTGTGTTGTGGGATTGACAAGTTGATCTAACGCTTGATGTCAGCAGGCTGGTGTCGATCCGTATCGCTCGGTCGCTTCTTCCTGCCTGATCTGGCGGAGCTGTATGGGTTCTCACCTTGGATCGGGCTATCTGGGTCAATCGGATCACACGATCGGCGGACATAGGTCAATCATGATCCATCAAACCCTGCCGTAGTGAACCCTGCCACATAGAACATTGAGACACTGGTCTAAGTACAAAGAACTTAGAACTCAAACCGGCTCCTTCCTGCCATGGTGGGATTGCTGGCTACACTCGAGTCATGTCACCCTCACATGCTGGTGCTCTAGAAACTGGGTGACGACCACTACTGGGCATTCGCACCACGACTGAGCAGTTACAAGGGTCCTCCATTTTAATAGAGACGTAACATGAGATGTTCAGTTCCATGAGACGTAACATGCATGCTTCTTCGAGAAGAGTGCTCAGTTCCCTAACCTCCCCTAACCCAAGTCCTAGCTCAATTCAGCTAAGCTTGATCTGAAACACATACATCATCATGACTCATGATAAGCAACTAGCTGTAGTCCAAATAGCATTCAAGTTCCAACATCAATGGCTTTCCGCACCCATCGCTCGTCCAACAACAATATACAGCAGTGCCTCCCGGATTTGTGGAGCCATGTCCTCCTGGCCATCCATTCACTGAAACTCCAAACGACCGGGACCAAAAAACACATATTCACGTGATGTGTTGATGTATGTTTCATGTGCCGAAATTTTTGCGTTGGTGTGCGGAACATCGAGGACTCGATTTCCCCCCCTCACATGACGCCCCGGAACGGACGCCGGGGTGACTGTCGGAGGACGACCGGGCGGATGACTCGACACCACGTGTTCGGATCTGTCGACACCCTGCTTGCCAGGTTCAAAGCATGGACCTGACAGAATCTGCTAATATGACAGAGGTTGCAGGGTGACAAAGTGGTTGATTGATTATGCTTGACGTGCGACATGGGATCCACGCAAGGCTAGGACGTTGTTGAAGAAGCTTTGTTCAGTGATCAAGGGTGTGTTGCCGTGCCTCCTCACCTTAGCTGCCAGCCAGTGAGGCCGTGAGGCCTTTGTATAAAATCACATGAACATGTGGAGCAACATCCTTCAGACTTGCAAGCTGCTTCACATGTCTTTCTGCTCATCTTCTCAGCCAAAGGAACCTTGACATGGACATGTCACGTCGTAAAAAACACTAGAGTAAAGGTACACTCCCTGGAACTAACATGGAAGTGGAGCATGGCCCCTTGGAAGACCATTTTCCACTACAAACAAAGGTAAGTAGCTTGGAGGACTCCAATGACTCCGGTGGGTGGTTCCAGCGGATTCCGCCTCGACCTCCCGTCACCTCCCTTCAACAGCCTGGGCATCGGAGGGGCGGCTGAACCTGGCGGCAGTCAGCAGTTGCAGATGCAGGCAAATCGATGGATACACATATTCATAAGGAAGTCTGCTGAGTGGGTGTTGAAATGTGTTGAACATCCGGGTTTCTTGATTGGGCCTGGTTAGAGGTCAATTAAGTATCTATACTTCTATACTCTACCCTTAACAAGGGCTTTGCACATTCCTGCCATTTTTTCCCTCTCTGGGGTAGTGGGCAGTGGGGTGGTCTGACATAGGGACGCAATGTGCAGGAGATGGATATCCAATATAAATATACGGTCGTAAATATGGATATGGATCCGCAAATATAGACATACCCTCATGTAACCTCCACTAAACGAAGATAGTCTTCCATAACCTCGTGTAATACGGTCTATATAAAGTGTATTATATATATGTGTGTTGAATTGGATGGTGTGGCAAATGCCAACTATTATGTTATGATTCAAAATACTCAACAAATCTCATCTTCCCTCTACCACATCCACTGACCATCCCCCGAGCGACTCCGGACTTGAGCTGCCCATTGTAAATCCAGCTGGCAACATCACAGTGGAGGATTGGTCACGAGGGTCTGTCATACACTCAGTTACTGTAGAACTCTGGAAGGACAGTTGGGCCTACAGAAACACCCAGCTTGACATACTTGTGCAGCTTTAGACTTTAGACAAAGTGATGTGGCGCCACATGCAAAGGTCTCAAGCAATATCTTTGCATCCTACATACATATATATAGTATATCATATGTTCCTCACCCGTACCAGGTACATCATCGGGCCCAGGGTGTCTGGGTGATATTCTCAGATCCAACACATGCCATGGGCGACGCCATCATCAGTGCAGTTCGCACTTCCTCCGCCTCCTCCTGGCCATCAGCTTGCGTCTGAGAGTCCCATCGTCAGTCCGCACGGTCCTTCGGTCCTAATGATGCCGGTTCCGGCTTTCTGTTTGAAGGCTTCAAACGGTGTTTGGGGAGATCCAAAGCAAACCAGCCTTCAACACGAAAAAAAGTGTGGCCACTCACTCTTCCTGTTTTGGATATGTCAGTGATATGTCTAAGCCAGAGTCTAGGGGCTTTCCCTTGGCACAATGGCCGGAGAAGGACGGCATCATTCGCAATCCTTGGCGTGACCCTCGTAGCCTCAAGATGTGAATGAACGTCACGGACGAACCGATCTCTCTGGGACTCAGTACTGCACCGACTGACAAGTTCAGTGAAATATGGTTGCCCCTGACAGCGCCTGAAAGACATCTGCATCTGGTACAGTACTTTTTCTGATCTTTGTGACTTTCGAGCGTGGCAACCGTTTGCAGTTTGCAACTTCAAAATGATCAAGAGCGATTATATATGACGAGAACACATGCAAAACGGGTGGTGCTAGAGCTGCAAATTCGGAAGGCGGGCTGGCAAACAAACAGGCAGAAGAGGATATGGCGGGCCACGCAAAAATAAATGACAGGTCTGCTGCTACAATCGTTCGCGACCAAGTCCATGGACAATATACCCTTGTGCTCACTAACCCTTCCATTTATATAGTTGGAAGTGGACAGGTGTGGAATGTCCTTTATTGAAAAACAAACGTAATGGACCCTCCGTGGGAGTAAGGCTGCTCTTCATCCATCTGGATGTCACTGGATCTTGGTCAAAAAAATTGGATGGCAATTTCTGTGCATCTCATCCTGGCATCAGAAACTTGATGCAACTCTCCATGCATTGCATGCAGGCTTTAAAAGCACTGATTATGCGAGAAGTCACCACCTGCCGCCGAGATTCGTAGAGTCCCAAAATTCAAAGTTGGTTAGTGTCTACCCACCAAACTAAAAGTCATGTATTAGATATGATATAATGTATATATATATAGTATGTATATCTGATATCGGTAATATATATATATATCATATCATTATAATTATCATTATACATGTCATTCACAGTGGTCAAAGAATCCTTTTGTGTCCCCGTTGCATCCCTGCTCCTCGAAGAAGGTGCACTTCTTCACATAGATCTTACAGGCGCCAACCTCAGGCCCAGGAAAATCGCACGGCAAGGGTTGTCAAATCATGTCAAATCCACTCCATTGGCAGGGCAAAACCTGAAAATTGCAGCGCGTCTCCAAGGGAACCAGCCAAACAAAAAAAACGAAAATGAGTAAACAATGCGTCAATAGTGGGCGTAGTCTCTACCCAGCTTCTCTGGGTGTACAACCTGCTTTACTCCCAATTTCCAGGTTAGGATTGTGAGATGGCTTCAAATGAGGAAATCTCTGCATGGAAATTGCAAAACACATTTATATAATTTGATTGTTGGTCAATTGTACATCATTGATGTAGTACATACAGTTACATGGCACACGCAAACATATGACAACAAAGCTCGTGCACTTGAATCAAGACAAAACAGTTCAGCCATCTTATGAATCACGAATGAAGATTGGCCCAATGTCTGTCATCAGTAGAGCCAATCAAGAAGAACGTGATCCATCTGTTGTCCAGAATGCACTCGTGATTGATTGGTTCTGACAGTTCTTCCAGGACGTGCTATCTGGGCGCGCTACAGCGCACACGATAACGGACCGGCCAAAGCAGCAAGTTCTCCAAAGCAGCCTTTTGTGACAGAGCCCGCGGCACGAGCGCAGAGCTTGCAGAGCCCTTTAAGTACGAGTTCATGCAAATTGGCTGAGCATACATCTTCTCCGCTCCTTGGAAACCTGAAGCCCGATCAAACATGCTGCTCAATGCTCAGCCTTTTCCTTCCTTTGGCGGATCCAGAATGCTTCCACGTGAGTGCAGCAACCTTAAGGGAAGCCGATGTGAACTGACAAAATTCGGCATCCCATGAATTAGTTCTGAACTGCTTATACAAAAAGCTGCTTCAATTGAATTTTGCATGTCTCATCTGCCGGAATTTTGACACCCTCTCACCACAGCTAGAACGACTACTACTTGAGATTGCATCAAGCATCATCAGCACAGCCCAATCGACAGTGAGAGCTGTGGGAAAGGTCTGAGAGATGTTCTTCTATTCCACTGGCCATTGCCATTGCCATGCACACCTGACCACCATCAAATACAGCCAAAGCAGCTTAGACAGAAATGAGTTGAAGCGTCAATGTCGCACAAGCAAGAACGGTTCAAACAATGGCCCCTACCATGCCCCAGTCAGGTGCAGCTCCAACAATTCTTTCATCACTGGCACCATCCTCCAGGTTCCAAGAGGCGATGTCCACAGCCTTCTAGAAGTCCTCATCCTACGGGCTGCGTCATGCCTCTTTATGGCCTTGGACAGTTGCAGCATCTGCGGCATCAACCATTTTGGAGGACCTTCCAGTCTTCGGGCGCTTTTTCTCAGTTCCACCAGATCCACCGACAATCGATGCGGTGTCTGGTCACAACTGAGCTCAGCTGCCGGAAGCAGGACGGCAGAAACTCGCGCTCCTGAAAGCGCCGTCCAGTGTGCTGGTACATTGCTATTCACATCCGGCAAGCTCAGTTTCTTTTTCAAATGAGCTGCTGAGTTTCCATTGGGGACACTTTTCCTACATATCTGGACACAAGTGGTCAATCGCAATTCCAAATGATCAGGTGCGGCCGGCCAGTGTGCTTCTATGAAGTGTCTGCATATCACAACAACAGGAACTTCAAGAAATCAAACAACGGAAAATACAAATAATGACATAGGTATCTTGACATAGGTAATGAGAACCAAGAATTACAAAGAAATCTCAACCAATAATGACATAGTTATCGGTCGTCTCGCTCTCTCAGACTTGAGTGGGCAGGGTAACTAGCAACTCGTCGGCTGCAATCGAAAGCAGAGTCCTGCCGAAGTGGAGAGTAGATGGCACAATCCCCAAAAAGGTGGTTTAAATGGGACCCCCATCTAGAAGATATGTGAGGCTTTGTGCAATCTACTCTTTTCAACCACTGTACGGACCCCTTTTACTTGCGCGGTGAGCAGTGATGTCAGGCATTCTGAGCAGGCATGGCCGTCAACGGCCATCACCAGATCAGCCCGGTCGCGGGGTATTGCCGGGTACTCATCAGATTCAACTGTGATGTCCTGCAGGAGCAGCATAACCCTACTGTCAACCGCCTGAGTCTGAGATTGTTTCTGCAATATTGCATGGCTCTGGGTGGGCATTCAGACTGCATCGATCTGTGTTCCTTTCTTCTCTAGAGCTTTAGACCTTACTCTGGTACTTCTTTGCGGAAGAATCTCGCGACCAGGTGTGCTGAGGACCCGGTGGACACCGCTGTACGATGCTGTACCTTTGTAGGAGGGGAGGTATCAAAATGAAGCACAAAACAGTACTATCTAAGTGATTCTAAGTGTACTCTTATTCGTGTGCCGCTCGCACTTTCGCCGTGTAAACAGTACGCACATCTGAAAAAAGTCACTTTCAGCATCTGTCAGCCTACTTGGATGCTCGTTGGTGTTCCCAACATATTATATGTACCTGTCCCGGTCCAATCAGGTTCCATCTCTGGGCTTCCGCACCAACAAATGGCCTGTGGCACGTAGCGACACCAAAGAGCGCCGCAAGGAGATACTGGCAACGGAAAAAAAAAAGAACAAACGAAAGCGGCGCCACCCTTGAGCGCTGCGCTGCACCACGCTTCACGCTTCACGCTTCGTTTCGCGACACCAGACCGCGTCCGACACCCCGCGAAGCCGACGCTGGGCACCGAGACATCAGTGATTCTTGGTGTTCTCGACCGACTCTGGACCGGTCAACTGGTTCTCCACGTGTGGTGATGTGGTGACTGTTCATGTTGTGCATGTTGTTGGTGGTGTTGCTACCGACTGGGGAGTATGAGGTGAAGTGACTCACACCGGTTTCATTGGATCATTGTGATGAGGACGGATCACAAAATTCGACTGTGTCCTTCCCTCATTTAGAGAGGGAAGTCACCCTCGAATAAGAGCACACACTCGCTTTGAAAATAACCATCCTTTCGTGCTCCCAACTACTTCGGATTGATTCAACACCCTCTTGTTAGCCCAAACCTGTTGGATGCCCTGGGCAGCCGTCCCTGCTGTTTACCTGTTAATAAATACCTTCAATCAGCATGAACTCAGAAAAAATTGCCAAATCAACCTGAATCTGTCAACTTCTTGAGTCATGTCATGAGTACTCATAATATCAAATAAGTAATGGTGGTAAGTGGTGGTAAGTAACTTATACTTACATGGTTTGATGTTTGATGAGCTTTAACCTGGAGTACCTAGTTACTGGGCAGATATTATGCAAAACACCTAAGCCGTATAATGTACCATTCTTCCGATCTGTTCATGTTATTTCCACGTGTTGTCCGTGGCTAACTACCCGAAGTGCGCGGCTCCTCTGCAGCAAGGTTCGAAGGTCTGTCTCCAGGTAGTCCTGCAAGGTGAAAATGCAGAAATGTATTCGAAACAAATGCAGGACTACCAGTTGAATATGGTTGAATGTCAAACATGTTCCAGAAAACTCATTGAAACATGTTCCAACTCCATTCGTATTCATCTACCTTGCGATCAAAGCCGGACAAGACCGGGTAGGTCAGGGCAGGTACCCCCAAAAGCCACAGAGCTCAAACTAACCATGTCAGATATGTCAGGCACTGTTGCTTTCATCATATCTCCAATTCCCAACTCAACAGTGCGGCTTTCCGGACCTCACTGATGAAAACAGATCGATTTGCAAACCGATCGTGAAAAACCACTCAACGACCACCCAGAGAGTTGCGACCACCAAGTTCCTTCCGCGATGTTCAGAACGATTCACTATCTGAGTGTGAGTAACCCCTGAGCGAAAACTTGAATTGAAGATGCGATAAAGTATGTTGACAAGTCTTGTAAGAATACAGGCGTAGCAACTAACATGTACAGGAACGAAGCCAATGAACCAGGTGACAGCCATAGATGATGGTCCCTTTGGTTTCCTACGTCGTAGCAACATTCCCAAACATGTACTGAGTCCTCTGCATTGGAAAACAAAAAATGCATCTGCCACTGTCAGTAGAACGCTCAACTCCCGGCATTCGTCTCGTCTGGTCGCTCGCATCACAGGGAGTTGAGCGTGTGTCTGTCCCACCTGACCTGCACGGACCGTCCATCCAGCTTCCAAAAGACGTCTCTATGTCTCCCTGACGGACGTGCCTTTTTGGATAAAGGAATTGTAGCTATTAAAACATATATATATAATATGTAATATAATGAATGTGTTATGATGTGTGATGTATCAACGTTCTTGGTCTATAAAATAAGCAAACAAACGTGGAGGATGTATCTATCAAACCTCGTGATTCACAACCTGAGTTGTTGACCTCCAGGTTCGAGTGCTATATCCGACCTATTGTGGCCTTCGAAGACAATGCTACGTAGAAAATGCTACAAAAAGAGCGAACCAAAAGATGTCTGGAGTGGTCCTCTATGTCCCTCGAAAACCCTCTGATTTCGGTAGTTAAATGGCCACCTGAAATGGGCCGTGCTGAGTACCCAAGTACACAAAACCAGCAACTGACCATAAATTGACCCCAAGCTCGCCCCAAAACGAGGCACGCGCGGCAAGAATCCAAGCATCGCGACCACTGCGTTCCTTTTTCCGCAACGGACGCGCCGCAAATGACTTCCGCACTCACACTCACTTCTTGGAGCCAGCCTTGGCCTTCTCCTTGCCGCGAGCCTTGGAGGTCTAGGGGTCGGACGAATCCAAGAGAACACGAGCGACCGGCGGAAGGAGAGTCGTCATCTTCGGAAGGTTACCGTACTGTTTACGGTAAGTCCGGTATGAATCTGCTAATTTTGAGTCCAGCCTGTTGCTTTTCTTCATACCAAAGGACAACACGACCGTCCTGGCAGTTCCTTACTGTCCGTCCTGAGATCGTTTGGGCGGTGGCCTTCTTCATCCTGTTCTTGGTGTCCTTCTTGGCACGGCGTCCTGCCGGGTGGTCATCCGAGCTCTTTGGGCTCCAAAGCATGACCGAAGTCCAAATTGTGTGCCTTTTAGAATTTGTTCTTAGATGTTTTTGGAACCTCATAGAACATGCAGTTTCCTTATGTTTCCTCTACAGTCGACTTCCAAGGTGTCTTTTTGAGTGTACATCTGGCGACATCGACGCCCACCAACACGTTCCTGAGATCTGTGATGGGTGCAAAGTGGTGGCATCGCAGGGTGGCATCAGCATGAACGGGGTGGCAGCACTGGATTCTGAGAAAAAAAAAATCCTGGGTCCATGCTTTGACTCCCAGTACTAATGGATGGTTTCGATGGGTGGGTCCATAAGCGACATGAGTCAGTAAAGTTCCACTGACTTTCAGTGGAGGAGACAATTTAGACGACTGGTAACTATATAAATCAAAAGGGTTCTTAAGCGGGTTGGAGCGGCTTTAAGAGGGTCTCCTTTCTACACTTTCTACAGAAGTCCACTTTCTATTGCGACTCATTCCACCAAAATCGAACCATGATCGTGCCTGGCCCGCTCTTCTCGCCGCCCAGGCCGGCCTCAGCTGTCATGGTATGGTGGGTTGACATCGACTTGCATGCTGCTGGTTGGTTTGTTGAAGGTGAGTGAGGGAGTCAGTGAGTGAGTGTGTGCGTGCGTGGGTGAGTGAGTGAGATTGCCCATAGACCCATAGACATATGAGTTAACTGTCCAAATGCTATCAGTTGTGCCTTGTTTGAAATCTTTCTCAAGGGTCTTTGCTCGTGTTGAGCAAACATGGACTTGCAAAGACAAGGTGTGAAGCGGACCTTGGTCCACCCAACAAGGCCAACTCGCACGAAACAAACAGATTGACTGGTGGACAGCGACGTTCATCCGTTGATGCGTCGTAAAATTCTGAATCATTTGAGTGATTGAAACTGGCGGTGACACCCCCTCAACAAACCATCCTTTCCCAAAGGAGTAGAGTCAGCCCCGAGTTGCACAGCTGTGGCACAGCTGTCCAATCCTTGTTGATAGAGGAAATAACATTGCCTTATTGCTCCAAGCTAGCCACTTGACAGAAACCAAAAGGTTCCAAAAAGTGTCAGTGCCACGGGAATTGAATTGCAAATCGGTGAACCGGTGAGCATCAAATACCAGGCGGGGGGGGGGGCGGCGGCGCAAGATGTCGCAATGAACAGTTTGACATGTCATCTTACTTGACTCGGACGTTCTTTTCGCGTGCTTCAAACGATTCATCATGCCAACATCGCCAGCATCTGAGGACCCTGACCCGCTTGAGGCGGTACTTTGGCTCGAACTTCTTCATTTTCTCCAGATTCTCGTAGATGAGACCTCAAATGAAAGCTTTAAGGAATCTCTCCAATGAAAAAGCGGTTCGAGGCCAACTGGCCAACTCCCCTCCACAGAATTGGTTGTTTAGAGGGTTTTGACGGCCAAATTGGCATGATCCATGGACATTCTCTAGTGACTCTAAGTCACTAAGGACCAACCTGGGCAGCTCGGCCTGAAAGGCATGGAGTGGATTCCTTCCACCTGAACGGTCCAAAGATTAGGTTCACCCTCCGACTCAGTCTAGGTTCGTAAAGAGGGTCCCTACTCTGCCCTAGCAAAATATTATATATTTCATAAAATATTTCATGATTAATCATGATTATGTGGAAATGTGTCTTGCTTCAGCTCTCAGGCTTCAAAAGTCTGTCAATCCAAACACATCCAAACCACCAATCAGACGGAGTCAGAGCTGGATGTTCGTCTTGGTGTCCGTCACTCACGCCCCGTGGGCCCCGGCCAAATCCACTGCTGCGGCCTCCACCGAAGGCGGTCTTGAAGCCTCGCGGTCCGGTGCTCCAGTGGGACTTGGACTTCGCGACACCGGTGAACCCCAAAGTGGTCCGCTGTGGACGCATTTTGGCATTCAAATCACATGGAATAGCCAGACTGGAATCATTCGAATCACCGTCTTGCACCGGGATTCTGTTCGGTGCATCAAACCAGGCTCCAGGCTCCATCGAACGCTTTAAGTCGTCGTCGGCAATGGATTGAAGCAGTTCGTCGGACACACTCCGAGAGGGGTTCGCAGTTCGGTGTTGTTTTCTTGTCTCTACTGGAACTAACATTGCACACTGACAAAGAAGAGGCGTTGGTGAACTCTCTGGTCCATGTTGAGCTTCTGAGAAGATTGCGGTCTATTGTGGTCTACAACTGAATGATTCCAATCCTACAGTTCTAAAGTATGTCCTCTGATCAAACATGCCAGACCCCTGAAAGCTCGCATAGATGAGCCATCCTTCTTTCCGAAGCGCGTGCCGGATGACCCAAGAAATGCGAAAGACATGCCACATGCCACATAGCCACATAGCACCAAATCCCATGTCCAAGCGGCAGAAGAGCTGGATGCATTGCACATCATGGACCTTGTACCTTTCAAAACAAAGCAGGCCGAAAAAGGTTGTCCGGGTGCTTTGGGGCTAAGCATAAGCCCTTGGCTCCAAAAATTTGGTGCCCCCCCGGGAATGTAAGAAAACTGCATGGGTCACATATTTTGAGCTACATTAGCTAGGTGACCTACGAAATTAGGGAGACCTCTCTTTGAGACCCTCGTGGAAGAAGAAGAAACATAGACCAGTCTACCCATTCATTGGGGGTCTCTTGCTATTAAAATACACACCCATATCAACCATACATCAATAGGTGGAAGATGGAATCTGGGCACCTCTGGTTGCCCCAGGTCTTAGAAATTGACATCGGAGGCCTCTGCTCGACCGAGCTCCGACCCCACTCCGAGGCATTCTCGTTGCTTGTGATTCATCGACAACTCATCGAAGCAGTGTGGGTCATCCACTGCATGACCCTCCGGTCCTCTTTCAGGTCGTGGAAGATGAAGGACTTCCATGTTAGCTGTTAGAGTTCAAAGGAGTCACCTAATCTCTGAGTTCAAGAATCCATCCCAAAAATCATATCAAAACTATACATGCCAACGACCCCAACTGGCCTCAAACAGCTCCAACTTCCCGGTCACGGGTGTTGAACTCTGAGACCGGCAGGTTGGAGCTTCAGCTTCTGCTGGACCAACACGGGGGCCCGAACTGCAAAGATGGATGCTTTTTGTGATAAGATTACAAGCAAGTGGAGAACGTTGGTACACACAAACTGGCCAACTTCAAAGACAATGAATATGTTGCATTGCTTGCGGAACTAATTGATCGTTAACCGTTGATTAATATGGGACCGGTTGAGCAATCTACTCAAAACACCACAAACTTTGTGGCCATGGTCATTATTCATCCCCACCAAGCCTCCAACATTCGTCCAGACATGCGAATTAGTTGGGGTCAAAAAGAGCCGGAAGCACGGCACATCTTGTTGGAAACCTCAACATTTTGATCTGCACCGGAACTACAAACTACAAAACTACAGCCACACTGAACAATGTCCACCACAGAAGACCCCAACTCTTCCTCTTGTCTTCGTCCTTCCACGGATCACCGTCCTTCATATCACCAGTGTAGGCCCCTTCCGCTGCCCGGGTCACATGCTTCGGATCTTTTCCGCGAGATCCTTCTTGGAGACCTCGGACTCAACGTCGCTCGGTCCGGCTGAGCGACGGCTGTTGGTCGATGTCTGACTCGGGTAAATCCGAAGGGAAGGACTCGATGTCGTACTTATTTTAAGTGAATAACCAAAAAGAATCAAAAAGAAACATAAGATAGACAGACTTCTGAACTTTCCGGTGATCGAAGTCATCTGTTGTGTCTTGGAGCGCTTCGACGGACCCACCCAGGCGACGTCACCGGACCGGGTGGCCGGGCGTTGGCCATGCCTGGATGGATCACATCTAAGACAAACTGCTTCCGGCCCAGCAAGGGGTTGTTCTGGAACCTCGGTGCTAAACCGGGTCCGCCAGGACGAAGACGACATGTGAGTCTCTTCGGTCATGAATTTGAGGATTGTTTGGGAACCTTGGAGGATGGTTTTGTGTTAAAGCTAGGGCCCTCATGTGTTACGGGTGGGTTCGAGGTCATGAACCGGACGGTTCCCGTTTTAAGAAAGGACGAAAGAACGAAGCGAGGAGAAGATGCCGATTGGTCATCCCCAGGCGATACACAATACGGCCTGGTTTGGCATGCAAAAAGCACCTTGTCAGTAGCTGGAGCGCAGTCCTTGTCAGTAGAGCTTGCTCATATTGTAAACATTTAATGCTCTTGAAGGCGTGTGCAGCGTGCACAAGTGAAAATAACATTGATTCCAAACCAAAAGCTACTAGGGAACAAGAAGCTACTAGGGGTTCCTGGCATCGCTACTAGGAGCAAGGACGCTACGAGGGGCTCCTGGCCGTACTACTAGGAGCAAGTAGCTACTAGGAGCTTTTTCTAGACTTCTTGACGCGCGCTATAGTATATATGAGCAGGATTTCACCAGGTATGTACCCACTCACAAAAGGGATTTATGCCTTTCAACTACACGTGGGGTATGCACACTTTGCGGACTGGGGGGATCGAACCCCTCTCCCTAAAGTGATTGCATTGGTGTGCAACATATCCCCTCTGGCAACATATTGAACATTGTTTCTGGCGAATTTGTGGAATCTCCAACAATAGTCTGCAGGTGTCCTGGGGCATAGTGGGAATATGTACCGATGGCAAAGAATTCGCAAGGCGGGGTAGAGCAAGTCCAAAAAATGTCAAGCTACAAGCTAGCTACACAATTGAAAACATCTCCCTATTCCATGTCTGAAGTCCTCAAAACTGAAGTGAAAACAGTCAACATCTCAAGCTCTGTGGAAAATACACCCGGACCTTGCCCTTTCAGGACGCTTGTCCGGGGCCTACCTGACCAGGGACTAATTCGTATCAACTCCAACTCTGAGGATATCTTGCTTGTAGGTCGGCCCAGATTCCCAACCTGAAGGGTTCTGGCATTCCCAACCTGCAGGGTTCCAAATGAAACACCCCAGCAGTTCCAATCAACTTCCGATCATTTGAATAAAGCTCACTGCCCGATCGGCTGAGTTCCGGCACTTGCGAGTACGGATGGTGAACTCAGACATGTCCTTAAAATCACTCTGATCAGGCAGGGACAATGCTCCAAATCCCTGGTTCCAACCGACCCTCCTCGTAGACACCGTGGAATGTGGGATCTGGGTGTGCCAGAAGCAATATGAAGTGCTTAACGCTTCGCACAACTCGTGGTTCACACTGGTTCAACCGTGGGCAGCCGACCGCCGAGTCCGTGGAGTTCCCGGAGTGCTCCCGGACAATCACCCTGTGCAGCCACACCAGTCAACCCCTTTGGGACCTTCTTTGCCAACGAAACAATCCATTTCATCCAATCTGTGAACTATTTGGGTCGCAGCAACACTGCAGTACAGGGTGACCCAGAAATACCACTTCTGGGTCACGGTCTTCAATCCAGGCCACGAAGTGAAGAACGATGGGAATCACTCACCTTTGCCGCGACGTTTCACGTTGCCTCCGGCACCCTGGGTACCGTTTGAGCCGTGAAGATCCGAAAGCATACCGTAAGCACAGTCCGCATCTGTCCCCTGGCGCTGCTGGAGTTTGAAAGAAACAACTCTTCGCCTAATAAGACAACGTGTGTTTTTTCATTTGTCTCTACTTGCCTGGAGGATCCTTGTTTGTCTGGGATCCTCAAAGGAAAACACTTGAATTATCTTGACATCTATATAATAGCATTATATGGCACAGTCAGTGTCATTATATGGCAGAGTGAGTGTCTGACCCCAACATGGGTTGATGTCTAGCTTGTGCACATGGCAGAAATATCTTGCCGATCCATCTCAATTTTGTTCGACGTCCTTGAAAAGTGACTTGTTTGAGGCCAAGACTGGTCCAACTCCTCAGAAGTGCGAGGTCAGTTCAACAAGGCTCAGGCAAAGAACTTGAACTTGCTACCAGGACCATCCTCAACGATCAAATTAGAAACGAATACCAGGGACCTTGAAGCCTAAGAAATCTTGCAAGTCTTTGGTCTTTGGAACCACTGGTGACCGACTGCAAAAGTTGGTTTAAACTTTAAACGACTTCCAAGGCTGTGAAACCTGCATTTGGCCCAAGACACCGCCGTCAGCAATCACTTGATAAAGTTATAGTGACATTGTGGATCAACGTCAAAAGCTTGGCTGGATGGTGTTTCTGATTGGGGAGCACGGTCCGTCCGGTTTTCTAATTAAGTCTCTATAAGTCTCTAGTCTTTAGAACCATGACCAAACTGGGAAATCGTACCAGAATTCATGGCTTGACCAAAAGAAAAGGATGGAGAAAAAAAAACGGCGCTCGCGGGTCACTCGGCCTTTCACACTCCGCGGCGCATGTCCTGTCCTCCCTCGCTCGCACATTCCCAGCTCACTCGCTCACTTAGGTTCACTTCTTGGAACCTGCCTTGGCCTTCTCCTTTCCACGAGCCTGGCGGATTTCGTTTGGAGCCACCTTCTCCCGTTTGGTTCCCTTATCTGATCTGATTCGTTGTCCGTCCATGTATCAACTGTTGACCAAGGTCAGTCAGGTGGCGGGAATGTTTAAGCAAGATCACCCTCATACAGCGGTTCTTTGTATTTGGGCTGTTTGGGGTGGTTCTGGGTGTGTCTGGGTTTGCTTGGGGCTGTTTCATCCAGAAAGGAGTGTGTAGATCTTGGTCGGACCACCTTGCTTGACCTGGATTTTGGTACGAAGTGAATCACATCTTTCCAATCGGTCACGTATCTGGGCGCCTTCTTCATCCTGTTCTTGGTGTCCTTCTTGGCACGGCGTCCTGCAATTAGTCAAGGTACAAATTGATGCAAGTATTAAGTATAAGTACAAGTGCTTCAAAAAAAACAAAGTGTATTATGTAGGGTTCATCAATATTTATACCAACTATATAGATATAATAGAGAAAACATACACACACATAGACGCTGGCAAGAGAACACTTCGACCAAAGCCCGCGCTTCACCCCCGTGCCTGGACCGCTCTTCTCGCCGCCCAGACCGGCCTCGGAGCGACCGGTGACCGGTGAGCTGGGCACCGGAAAAGCCCTATGTAGGTCTCGTTTCTTTAGGCAAAACCTTGATAGGCGTCTCTTTGCTCTATAGAACGAACAACCTCCACAACCTCTAGCGTGTGCAGAAAGGGGTTCCAAAACAAGTGTCTTTGCATTGTGTATCACCTTTTGTGAACGTGTAATCCACGTTGTTTAGTGCTATACATACGACAATCTAATCCATGAATCGCCTCAATTCGTTTTTTGAACGTGTAATCCACGCTGTTTAGTGCTATACATACGACAATCTAATCCATGAATCGCCTCAATTCGTTTGCTCTTCACTGTTCATCTGGAACGCACGCTTTTCTTCGTCTTTCTAAAATTAAAAAGGTCTTTGTGCATCCTGAACAAAGATGAACAAAGAAGGCGTCTTAAGATCCTCACACGCTTCAGGCGGTACTTTGGCTCGAATTTCTTCATCTTCTCCAGATTCTCGTAGATCAGACCTGGCGATCCCAGCCATGCGCCATGCCAGACTGGCATGGCCCGGAATGCCGGCCGGACACGTACGGGCGCTCTGGGCCTTGAACGGCCAACCCTTAGACACCCGAGAGATCCCCAAGGATCCGGAGGTTTGGAAAGATTCCTTTGCTGAATTACCCCAAGGGTAGCATGAAGTACCAGTTCCTTCCACCAAGGTCGTACCTGAGAAACATCGGATGGGTTTTGAGTCATCATCTTGCGTCTGGGTCTTCCTTTCCAAGATTGACACCTGAAACAGGCTGACAGGAATTCGGAGCCCAAAATCATCCAACATCAAGGTCTTCCAAGGGCTCTGGACACTCCATCGCCGTTTTGCTCGCCGCTCCACGAGCTGCGCATCCGCACCGAAGCCCGAGCTGCGACCGCCACCGAAGGCCGTCTTGAAGCCTTGCAGGGGGGTCGCGGAGGCGTTGCTGTTGGTCACCTCTAAGGTCACCAGAGTTGGCGTTCGGTTGATGTTCCCCATCTCATTCTCCATCATTCTCCCCATCTCATTGTCCAATGCTCACCATGCAAATGGACCATGCATTCTTTTAAGATTGGTGGTTTCGTCTTTCCTGGTTCTGAGGGCGCCTTCATGAATTGGTCGATTTCTTCCCTGGAGACTTGCTGATGAGAGCTTGCCAGGATGCTATTCTTTACAACACCTACAGTACTTTGTAGATGTCCTTTTACTGGAGGCCCATCAACCATTGCACCCAGAATGCAGCTGCTTGTAGAGCTCAAACATCACACAAGTGTGGTTCCTCTCCGGAGATATTCTTTGTGCATACGAACTGCGGTGTCCCCTCTAAAACTGGTATGGCTGGTCTTTGAAGCCAGTTTGCTTGTGAGTTTGGGCTCACATGGATCCTTCCTTTCACACTTCACACTCACGGAATATGACCGAATGGTGCGATGCGGGAATGAGCTGAAGATATAGTATACGAGTAACCCAGTGACCCAGAAACAGAATATGCGTCTCCAAGTAGCAGAAGAGCTGAATGCACTGCACATCATGGACTTTGTACCTCTGACCGGCTCCGCATCTGCACGGCTCCGCAACACACGGGGCATCCCCGTTTTTGAGGAGCAAAGTGGGTGCATCTTTAAAGCATGAACGTAGGTCAGCCAGAACATGGGGAGATGAACATCCTATAGCCGGCCAAGAACTCGGGTGGCGGAAAGGGTGGCTAGCCTCGCTCGCGCTTCCAAAGTGCAGCCTCCCAGTCTGCCGCCCCGGCTCACATGCTTCGGATCTTCTCGGCCAAATCCTTCTTGGAGACCTTGGAGATACAGTGACTTCAGAGTAGATGGCACAAGGGTCCCAAAAGTTAGGTGGTTTGTATGGACCTCTATCTAAAGGACGTCTTCCAGTTGTGCCATCTACTCTAAAACATCTAAAACCATTGTATAAACAACAGTTCACTGGGTGATGAAACCCTCCCACTGACCAACATAGATGTTCAGGATCATTCCTGCTTTGTAGAGGAATCTGGTCTTCTACCAAAGCATTTGCACTGGGACCATGTGCTGTGGCCAAACTATGAATATAGCATCATATACTGCATTGTACTACCGAGGACAACAATCTCCGAATGCACAGCGGGTGCAAGTGAAAGGCTCGAGCATCCTTGCTTGTGGGCCAAGCTACTGGGTTGGAAGGCTCAGTCTTAGGAAAGTGTCACAAACAAATCCTTTGCAAAAGCGTTCCTCTTGGAGCAGAAAAGGGCCTGTGTAGACCTGATACTTTTGGTGGTGAAACCCAAAACAGCTGGCCAAATCTGTCAGAATCATCTAACGTGAAAACACGTTTCCAATGCCCAAGGAATGATCAATTGATATAAACACTCTCAATCCTATGCTTTTCAGTCCCCCAAATCGAATAGTACCCTTGTATGAGCTGAGTTTACTGGGAATCACCGGCACCCCCCGACTGTTCCATTCTTCTGCGTGGAGATGAGCCCTGGGCTCCCCACGTTGGCCATGCCTGGATGGATGACATCCAAAACGAACTGCTTCCGGCCCAGGAGAGGATTGTTCTGGAACCTCGGTGCTGAAAAACTGGGTCCGGTGCTCCATGAGTCATGTGTGGGCGCGTTGCGCTTCTTTGGTTCCAAGGTCATGAATTTGAGGATTGTTTGGGAACCTTGGAGGATTGTTTTGTGATAAAACTAGGGCCATCTTGAGCTGTCTTCAGCTGCTAGCAAACGAGCTACCTAGCTCCCGCAAGCGCGATGCCGAGCGAATATGTTAAGATCTTCGCACCTCAAAACTCAAGATATGTTGAAGAGAGATTCATCATCAGTCTTGCTCAAACTGATGACACCCAGACTGTTGACACCTCTGGTCTAGTCACCCAAGCAAGCACAGACCCATGTGCCAGGCAGCACCTGGGTACCAATGAACGAAGGGTTGTTCATCTATAAAATCATTACCCAGACACTCCATGTATGCCATATATGCCTACATTGACCCCCCAAACCACCCCAATGTAGGTATATATGGCATACATGGAGTGTCTGGGTTATTGGTTTATTGATGTTTGACATTTACATTTGAGCTGGGTAGATCGAAGCTGCAACAGGACAAATGGCTCAATGAGGACTTCAAACTTCGCAAAATGAAAGGATAAATCCTAGCTATATATATATGTGTTTATAGTATATACGTGTATGATATAGCGTCTAACAGTATGTTTTATGTTGTCTTATGTTGTTAGATGTGTTTGACTTCTGCCAGTAGTTATGTATAGTTAAACAAGTACCAAGTGAAACCTTTCTGTGCTCCCACACTTACGAGTGCGGATGGTGAACTCAGACATCTCCTCAGATGCGGTGTGGCCAATAAGGTTGGATTGAATTCATCATAGACCAAACATCAAAGATCAAGGTTGGGCAGCACTGGGAAGGAAGGTCTTAGTCTTACTGTGATTGCGAGTCTTGCTGCGACTCCGCCAGTCCTGCAATGTCCTGCAAAGAAGAACACAAGTATATGATTATGCGATTCAGGACGTATCATGATCTAGTTTCCCTGCTCAACACAAACTCCACCAACAAAAGCAATCGGGTTCATACCATCCCACTACTGCCTCATAAGGCCAGTATTGATGCAGCCTTTCTCTCCGGGTCACACGAGTAGTCGCGGGGGAGCGGTATTATCCTTGAAAAGAAATGCAAAAACATATAAAAACATATGGGGAAAAAAGGACCAGTCTCACGTCTGACATCTTCCAAGCCGAGCATCGAAAGTCGACTGTCGACGCTCACTCTGACGGTGGGTGTGACTGGTCTGCGCCCTTTTTGAGCCAAAGGAAGCGCCAGGCCAGCGGCCAAGAAGATTGTAAACTGACTGGTGCGACTCGGAGGGAATGGAAGAAGCCCTCAGGGTTTTCCTTTGGATTCATTCCAGTCCAGAACACTGTCGGTCCGGTGGTGTGTTGTGTGCGGTCCGGTGCAGTCCGGTCCGCTCATGGAAACCCAGTGAGCTGTGAGATGTCTTCCGTTCGAATTCCTTAGCCATAAGTAGCTTTGGAACTGGTAGCACTGGTAGGTGAAAGCTAAGTAATTTCCGAGACTTCCAAGTGAAGAAATGTCTGTGGGTCATCTCAAGACCCCCAATCCGTCCTACACGAGTTTTTGTTGCAAGCCCAAAGGCAACGACTCGTGCGTGAGCAGTGCGAGTTTGTCATGGTTTGGACTCTGGACCGCAATGATAAATGCCGAATGATTCATACAGTCAGACCCTCTCGCTAGCCGCTAGAATGCTTGCTATTGCAAAATGAACGACTTGGTCTGTTTTGGGGGGGAGACTTCTCTGCCTGACCCGAATGAACCTTTCTTCTGACCTCTAAGAATGCTGGTCCCGAGCCTAGGGGCCTCGAAGGTCTCAGTCCTGGGGCCGCCAGGCCCTTCTTCCCATGGCCTGCGGGACCCAGACCTTCGACCTCCTTCGACCCTCTCCTGCTTCTTGAGCTTTCTCTCCCAATGTGCAGCGAGCCATGCCTAGCCATTCACGAGCCATGCCTGGCCTCCCCATGATGTCACAGGTATCGATCGTTAACGATCAATGTCTATGATGGACCAAATCTCTAGCGCCAGAGCTTCTCAATGATTCTCATATCCATGACCATCCTCATATTGATTTCTTATATCTGCGACCAACTTGATTCGCTTCCCCAAAGAAACCCTGCGACCCCTACGTTGGAAGACGGCCCAAGTTGACTGCCTTGCCCCAAGGACCATTGGGCGCAATGAGCTTGGCCAGCTCCATGGTGCCACACGTGAGGAATATGTAAATTGAACCGACTGAGCTTCCAAATTCGACTCGGACCTTGGATTCTGGAGCCAAACGCTCTGTCCTCTTGTGCGGGCGTTGGGAGTGAAGAATGTGCTTCCGGACCGCGGGTCTGTCAGAAATCAGCCATGCTGGTGGAATTGCAAGTGTCCAAACAGCAAACTTGCCCAACTCATTGCATGTTGTTGTTTCAGATCCAAACATACCACAAAGAGCGTTGGCCTGAAATCAATGTTTGATGGCGAGAAACACAAAGTTTAAAGTTTGGGGTTGGAGAGCTGAGAGCACTGCTCTGATTGGCCCGACATCTTTCCTCAACAGCCAAAACGGCTCACGATCTGCGCCATGCCAATCGCTGATTACAGGACTGCTGCGACTGCAAATGGTGACCATAATTTCATCTTCCCCTCATATCCACCTGTGAAGAAAGGGGATAGAAGACATTAGGCGCCATGAGGAGCCTCACCATGAGGAGCTACATGCAGTGTTCGCTGGGGTACTTTGGGGTCCAACACCTCTTGCCCAACACCTCACCGAAAACCCCACTGAGTCAAGTTGGGGGAGTTTAGGAGAGAGATCGAAGCATGAAGCTGATCGAACACGAGGGGCCGGATGAAATGCAAATCCAAATTGCCCAGGGAGGTTCCAGGGGGTTGGGGTTAGCTGGCTCTACATCTTGGCTTCATTGACAACTTGAAACAAGGAAGACTATAGTAGAAGTAGAAGATAGTATTGGCCCTATAATGGTATATATGTAGTACACATTTCTATACACGTTGCGAGCTTGCTCTCAGGTGGGGTCCCGTATCAATCGACCAAACTGAATGTGACGGTCTGGATTCATGCAGAAACTCTCACCCTTGCGATCGAACATCCTTCACCCTGACCAAATCCTGGAGCCAACAGTAAACTATAGCAAAACGTTAAAACGTTGCATCCAAATTCCGTTCGACAATCCGTTTCAAATGTTCAAGCTCTTTTTCTCCGAAACTGTTCTTGTTGTTAGCCAGCTATTCAGGCCTCTTCCTTTCCATGTCGCCAGAAAGGCTTCGACCTTGACTGCGGAAACGCAACAGGTGGGCCAGAACGTAGCCGCTGTGGGAGGACCTCACCTTATGCATCCTCATACCATCTTGTACCTCGCATGATTGCCTGCTCCTACTTCACTAATAATCAAACCCCCAAACAGACAAAACTGGTGTCCACTGCGGTGAGCTGGAAAAGCTCTTCGGTGCCGTGTTCCAACTTGTTCCATTTTTCTGCGGCAAAGTTGGGGCAAAGCGATGCGAACTTTAGATCCAACGCCTCACTGCAGATTCTTGTTCTCAAACACCCCTCTCCCTGTGTGAAGAATGAAACAAATTCCCTGCACGGTCTTCTGGTCTGTGCTTTTCTATGCTTAAGACTTAAAACATAATAGGTTCATCATCTCCTGTGGTGACTATTTCCATGAAATGCATGAGTTACCAGCTGCTTCCATGACTTGAGTCAAAAAGATGTGTAATATTGTGTGCCCCTACTCTACTTATAGGTCTCCAAACAGGACATCAACAGGCTTTGCACGTTCGGACGGCTTTCAGACCCAAAGGGTCACCGGGTCTATGTCTACGGAGGGAGGGTCGGAATATACATGTCTTCTAATGTATGCAGGTGGGGGGGACAGGTATTGAAACGGTTTTTGCAAACAGGGGGGTTGAACACAAGGAAAAGGATGCATCAGTTAGAAAATTCACACTTTTCCTATTCGTCGGTGTTTCTGGAAACGCCGGTATTGGGATATCTTTGAAAGGCAGGGAGATCAAGACCCGAATTGTTTGCATATAGGGGCACTCACCTACGCACATCTACATTTCTTGGGCACTTGCGGCCATTGCACCAACAAGGGGGACAAGGTCAACACAAATCTCCAAAATGTATGAACAGAGCGGGAGAGACTGGTCGCTTGGTTTCCAAGCGTGTGGAACAGGGAGGGTGAATCTAGACAAAAGATTGCAAAAGAGCGCCCGTCAGTGATTTGAGGCTTGCTGGGTGGCTGCTGCAAAACGACACGGGCGGGGACCAGCAGGCAGTTGGCAGGCAATCTGCTGGCCGTTGAACGGGCTGCTGGCAGCTACCGTTGGGAAAGCTGGGGTATTTGGAAGTAGTACGGGTTCGGTTGCTGGATTTGTCTGCAACACTGGCAAGTAACATGGTTTCACAGGAGCCTGGGCTGGCAAAAGTCGCGCACGTAGCAGCTTGGTCAGGTTTGTCTGCTCTCGTGGCCGTGGCAGCAAATATGGCTTGTGGCCCTGGCGGCAAGCAAGGCTTGCAGTTCCAGACAGTGTCACGCCTTTCTTGTTCAAGCTCGGCCTGGCCGTGGGTTGGAGGCTACACAGGTTTCTTTGAGTGTTCTGCGGTAGTTTGCCCTATTTCGCCCGCTGGACAGTAGAACGGAGGCGCAGGACGGCGGCTGGGACCGGCAACTGGCGGCGGTGCCACTTCGGAGGACGGCGGACATCTCTCTTGAGCAAGAAGCCGCTGAGAGATAGGAAGAAATGATGGCATGCAATGCAAGGAAAGCATCTAAGCAACCAATTGTTTGAGAGAACTCGTCTCAAAGAGGCAAAATACCAAGGGAAATGTATGCAAGGGGGCGGGGGACATCATATAATAACTATATATAGTTGTATAATCGTGTTATTGGCCAAGCTGCTGGCAAGAACGATGGAGAACACGCATATGCCATGGTTGTTTTGCATGGCTAGGGGAGTCTGCAATGCCAAAGGCCCAGTGCAAATTGTATGAAACCATGGGGTCGAACCATTCTTAGGATATCATAGAGAAATCTCTGGAAGATTCTGGAAGCTGATTTTCCTGATATGAAAGGGGGCCGGAGGACATCCATACTCATCATATCATGAAACATACAAGTTCAAAAAAGAACTCTGTATAAAATCACTTCCCAAGGAATGGAATCTGGAGACCAAGAAATTAATTACAATTTTAAAGGGGGTATATACACCTCTCTGAATCTACATTGATGCTTCTGTGACCCGGTGATCCCAAAGGCTCAACCAGGACACGCCACACAAGAAGCTGTCTCTCTCTTCGGGGCTCCAGGCGTCTGAGGAAGCACCTTTTGCTTCCTGGAGACTCCAAAGACTTTGAACTCACAACAATTTTGAGGGGAGGGGGTATATCAGCTTGGAGTAGGGTGCGGCAGGATGGGGTATGGGTACATCATTGTACATCTAATATATGAGGTTGCAACCTGGCAACCTAGCAGAAGTCGCAGCAACAAAGTTGTTCCATTCGCAATTGCCCTACCTCTAAGTTCCAGTCCTCGGGATGTCCCCAGTTTACGGACTTCCCGTGTGCAAATTTTGGTCCTGGAAACCAATGAATGACACAGCACAATTGGCCAGAACATTCCTGAGGAATATGGAATAGTAGTTTCAACAAATGAAGCACAGGACATTCAAAGTTGCAAAATACGATACAAGCGATGCAAATGTATACCGTCAACAGGGCTCTTTTGCTTCTATGTCCCTTTGCTGGTTGACTTCTCAGCAGCACCTAAAACTGTTGAAGCTTTGCTTCAATGATGGCTGGATGAGGAACCCAGCTACTGAGTCACGCTTTCTGCCCAAAAGACAACTTCACAGTTTACTGGCGAGATGTTGAACGAGGAGGATGTTTGATGTTCCCGAGTGGATTTCCTCTGTGACGCTATTCCCGAATCTTATTCCACCCACCGGGCGTACGACAAACACCGAGCCTCTCCAGCTCCTTTAAAATGGCCAAGTAAGGTGAGCACCTTGTAGATGATATGCGGAATGCGCAGCGAAGAACGTGTATATATTCTGCAAATTTTTGGGGTGACCGTTTGTGGCTCCCTCAATTTGTTGTGGAGCTGTGACCAAACCTGAACATATCTGGACACCATGGGACCTCTGTCAAACGTATGTGCGGGAGGACGTATCCGCGAGGGACACCACCGGAGCCCGCGACTCGGAGGAATCCACCGGAAGTCACCAGAATCCCAGGGAACTTTAATGGACATGAACTAGGTTAGCATGTTCTGGGTGAAGATGGTTCGCAGAATATCAGAATATCCAAAGATAAAGGGACATGCTCAATTGACAGAACAGTACAAATACCCTGGAGAACTTGGGTGTACCACTCTTCCTCAGGGTCATCATTGATGAAACTGAGATAGGTCATGCTAGCACATGACCACTTGATTCACACGAGCCTTCCTTTGCCTCAAATGCCGAGTATGTGCCCTGCATTCCTATCCAAATCCATCAACTTTGTCTGTGCGAATCCTCAGAACAAACTGTTGGCTTGCAGCTTGCTGCCTGTATGAAACTCTCAGTTGTTAAGGTTAAAGTTAGTATCGGTGTGTTTTTTCATGCTGACCCATACCGCCGTGGTGTGTTCGGAGAACTACATGAAAAAATTGTCTGGAGAACCATGTGCATCTGTTGTGTAATTGGATCTATCCTACAACCAGGGCCTCAGTGGATGATGATGATTTGCTTGCTTACTGACTGTTACAGGTCATCGGACAGACCCGATCTGTGCCGTATGGCTGGAGCTCCTCGCTCGTCTCGCCCCGATCGTCGCGACCTGTCCGAACCTTTCAGGCGGTCGGTCGTGGCCGGGGGTCGTTTTGGTCCCACAGAAGCGGGTTGAACATGCCGTGTGGCTCTCCCCCGTTGATTCCATGAAGTCAATGTGTCCACAAACACGGGGATTCGGCTTCCAGGGATGCGTGATGTTTGGGTCCAAACCGAGTCCAAACACATAAAAGCAACAAAAGTGAAACTACTTTCAATGGTTTTCCATTTTCACTTTCCGTTGCATTCCTGGAGCCTCGTTCTCGATCCTCTAAGCACCTCCCAACCAAGCCACACGCTGCCGGACACCGTCGGATCGGACCTCAAAACACCGCCCGTTCCACCGCGGCGGCGCACGAGTCGAGGGCACGAGTTCGGACGTGACGAGTCTGGGGATGTTTTGACGTGAGTGGAGGGCCGAAATGGGCCGAGATGTGCGAAAAGATGCGGAAAAAAACGCATGCATGAGATCAACCACATGACTCTGATGAGATCAACACAGATCGTATCGCCTTGCATGTTCAGACTGCCCCCAACCCCAGTTAATCTGCGGTGCGAGGATGGTTTGGGTGCCACATACACTGGGGCAAGTGAATGGGCGTCTGCCTACCATGTGGGACCTCCATCTGACCTGCAAACGAATGTATCAAAAAATTCAGAAGCAGGCACCATCTAGCATGCCAGCAAAGCAAGACCCTCAGGGATGTTGGGCTGGTCGTTCTGTAAATGCTTCGAGGGATTGGTGATGCTCCTGAAGAGGTGGCCCCTTTTGCAGTGCAACTCACAATCTACTGTGCCAGGGATTGTTGCTCAGCACCTCCACGTGGTTCAAGGCGGCACTTGCATCATTCATTGCCACATGTCGGTCCACCAAAGATCCACAACGTCGGAAGCACGTCATCGCCCAATCAGCGTACTTGGTCTGTGCCTTACTTGGTCATCGACACTCAAGTAGCACCCTCTTGCGATGCCTTAGGATGCCTTGTGAATGCCCTATGGTGCCAAACGCCTTGCTCATTCGGGCTCGATAAGGAAGGCTGTAGATGTGCTCCTTCTTGAAGATCTGCTAGCTTCATCAGCTTCCTGTGGCGGCACCAAAAATTCCATCAAACATCTTTCAGTTTGGCTTAATCATTGGAGTTCTCCAACATCCCAAGCACACACTTCCGGGAAGATAGGGGATGATCTACATCCGGTTCATCCAAAACTCTCACCACATCCCAGTTGGCAATTGAAGCTGCCAAGTCTTTGGGCGTTCGACCCTCAATATTCTTGGCATTTCTCTTGGCTCCAGCAGTGACCAAGTACCGCACCATCTGCAAGGCGCCGTGGTCTGCTGCCAAATGCAACGGGGTCAAAGCATGTCGCTCGGTGACGGCATCTTTATTGGCTCCTGCTTCGATCAAGAAACACACCAGTTCCAGGCAAGAGTTCTCAGCAGCCAAATGCAAGGGTGTCCACCCGTCGCAATCAGTCGCCTCCGTGTTCGCTCCAACTGCAACCAAGTATTTGGCCACTGCCACAGAGCCACTTCGAGCTGAGCAGTGTAAGGGCGTCCAATCGTCGACCTAGAGTGAGCCAATGACCATTTCAATACCACCCAAGCTAGGTCAGACCCCATGTTTGTCGGCTAAAAACAAGGTTACAGTGCCTGACGTTCTTTTTTTTATACCGACGTTGTTTTGGAGGAGGTGAAAGTGCTGAAGGGGTTGCTCGGAAGGCCTGTTTTTAGGTGTTTCGGTGCAGTTTTGAACAGTTATAGTTATAGTTATTAAGATACCGTATTTTTCCGGTCTTAAAGTGTTGCAGGACTCGTCCACCGGCGTCCCCCGCCCAGGTGAGCCAAACTGTCCGATGGCCGAGAAGCTCAAGTCATCCAGAACCCGAAAACCCATGACATTCTAGGACCTAAGAACACCAGACATATTGCACCTCTCTCTGGGCAAGGGCACCATCGTAAACACCCCATCCATCGCGTAGCATCAAGAGCGTTTGCAAGTACAAGTGACGTGAAAAGAACCCCACCCCACCCCATCCATCACACAGACATCCATAAACGCCATGGCCCCTTAGGGCCCCTGCTAGCCACCAAAAACATGGCTCCACTCATCACGGCGGGCGTTTGACCCGTGACCATTGTGAGACTTGTCTTCTTTACTGCACTACATTCAGTTACCGAGACTGCGACACCCCCGTTCAAAGGCCCCCCTTCGCCATGGCCCGGTGATCCTCTCGCTCGAAACGGTGAGAAAGCAGTGGGAAAGCGGTTCCTGGACACATGGAGGTTCCATGAATTGGATCTGGTCGACCCACCTCCAGGACCTCAATGTCGGCGCCTGCTTCGACCAAGTACTTGGTCACCTCCCAGCTGTCTTCGGTCGCTGCCACGTGTAAAGCCGTCTGTTCCTCCAAATCTTTCGCCTCCTTGGATTTCTGCGATTCTCTGTTCCGAACTCTTCAGACACCCCCCCAGGCCGGAAAAAAAGGAGCAATATGTGAAGACCATCTGAAAAGGGAGTGTATCCTAGATCATTCTAGTCCAAAGTAGACCTTCCTCTCTCAACTCCTCCGAAAAAGGCCGGTGAAATGACCGGCGAGGCGACCCAGGCCGGGGACAAAGGCCGGTGGAGCCGCCAATCCCGCCGAGCTTTTGCGTGGACGTCACCTGCTCAAACAGCTTCCGAATCGTTCTTGCATTCCCAAGCAACTAAGTCGGCTTGTGCCTGGACTAAGCATCGCGCCAGCTCCAGGTGATCAAATCGGGCGGCCCAGTGCAAAGCAGTCCAGGCATCAGAGCTGTTGCTCACTCCCAGATTGGCTTGTGCCTCGAGCCTGATATTGGCTTGTGTTGGCCATTTGCCTTTTGCCTCCAATCACTTGTTCGTATATATAGTATATAATTTATAGGCATATCCTGCCGTACTGGCTCATTCTCCAAAGTTGATTTTGCTCTATTGTCTGTCAGTTGTGCAGTCCTTCTTCAACAAACGCATGTTGGTGTAACCCGAGTTTGTGCTCAGGTGCTCTTTGTTCTGGCTCCTGGGAAATTCCACTGGCCATGTTTTCAGGTTGACTTCTCGGTGAGCTTCCAAGAAGATTGGAAGAGAGCAAAACACATGAGTGTGTGTTGAATAGGGAGAGCTCTGCAGTTTGTCTCGTAGGAAGGAATAAACATGAAATAAACTGAATAAAATGAAACCCATTGAATACGGGAGTCCCCGATGACACACGCTCCAGGCAACAACAAGTTTATCACGTCCAACCAGCCATTGGAGGCAGCAGCGATGAATGCCCAGCAGGAGCCGCCCTCCTCTGGCTGCTCAATCGTGTTAGGGTTCTGCGGACGGTGTAGCATTCGTTCAACTTCAGCGAGACGGTTAGTAGAACATGCCAGGATGAAGTCTGAGTCAGCCCTCCTCAGGGTTGCTTCATATGCCCAGCATCAATGATTCGTTTCAAGGGGTAATTGAATGACACAATCATTACTCCTAAGTGCTATAGCCACTATATATAATATAGATGTGCACCAAATGACCCGGGAACGCAACGTAGCGTCCTTTCTGGAGGGCAAAACTCCAAGATCACCAACTGCAACTCAGGCCATTTGCTCAAAGGCATATCATCGTGCAGTTCGCCGCTCTCAGCTAAGAGCCTTTGACGAAATCGGGAGAAACCTGTCCGAGCCGCCAGACATTGTTTCAATGCCTTGATGGTTCCACCGAGCCCCAGAATGTGACAGAATTCCTCGTCATCCACTTCTGCGACTACAGCACCGGAGACTTGGCAGATGCGCATGTTCCCAACACCCGCAACATCAACAGCATGCCCGCAAGAAGGCGGCCCGGGGGGATCTATCCGGTCGGAGTGCTTGAGGCACTAGGTCGGTCCAGCATCGGTGTTCGCAGGTTGTTTGGCTGTCTGCGCCCCCCCCTGGGTGGAGTCCTGAAGGGAATGAACACGGGTGTGAGAAAAGAAGAACGCTCGCTCGCCCCATGTCAGAGTGAAGCTTGTAGATGAGTTCATCTGTGTTGGTCCAATATGCTTTTTCAGGACTGGCTCTCCTTTCTACCATTAGCACAACAGCAACTGGCAACTGCATGTGTGTGTCTGTGTTAAGTCTATTGTGATAAGTTGCACCATGCTCAGGAACACCAAACCAATACGCCCCAACTTTCCATGATTCTCCCATATCACCAGAAGGGGATCGTGTTTTTTCTCAGCAACTTGAAACGAATAAAATCTAATGAATCTGTTCAAGACACATGTGCCCAAAGAATCGATCGATCATCGGATCCATTCATCTGACCCAAGCGGATTCGAACGGAACGGAAGAAGAACGGAAGAAGAAACCTGCCGGTTCGACATCCCATCCTGCCACCTGCGGCTCCCGACATCTCATGCCAGTCAAACCAGCAGCGGTGGGCATCAACGGCGGCCTAGATAGAAGCAGTGCCCGTGCCCTCTCCCTCGGTCCCATCTCGGTACCCCCTTTGTTGGTTTGCACCGTGTTGTGCGGGCCGTGTTTGGGATCAACCCCCATGATTCGGCGGTGTTTGGGAATGAGGTCAGTTTCGCCCCAAAAAGGATCCAGCCACCCAAAGGGTTCCTGAAGGATTCCTGCCTTTTCATGCCTTTTCTATAGATTCCTGAAGGATCCGGCCACCTAAAAAAAATCCTTGCAGTTGTCGCCCCAGTCGGTTTTTGGTCTTGACTCTTGAGAAACTTTGTCTTCCCCCGACCGACTGGTTGCAGTCCTTTCGATCGACCCAAAGGTCGACCTGAGGGATAATTATTTGCATTTATTTGCCACACCCGTGTTCCTAAGTTGCTTCAAGATGTTCTTCAATCTGAATGAGGCCGGAATGTCAATCATTCACTCATGTGCAAACAACTCGCTAATGAACCCAAACAACTGACTGATGTGCAAAACGGGGGCAATGCACACGTCGTGTAGTGTAGATCTGAGAGAAATAGAATCTGGTGCAGCAAGGGATATAGAATAATGACAACAAACATCAACAAACGTTGAATGGATCGAACCTGAACATGGACCCTCACTCTTTGCTTGACAAAAAGGACCACACAGGTCTGTCGGACTGCATCTGATTGGACTTGCTTGAAAAACACCGAGCAAAAGGACTAAGCTGTATTTGGTCTTGCGACCTGTAGAGAGATGCTTTGAGGGGAGATGTTTTTCCCGAAGCCACGGACCGGGTTGTTTGCCCAAAACATACACCTTGGACGATCTCCCGGGCATTCCTGGGACGAGCTTGTTGTCCAAGCTGAGGATTATCACTTCTGGGTACCGGAAAATTGGAAAGGAGCCTTTGTGATATTGAGATTGAACTGCTTTAGTTCATGATCATTCTAGATAGGAAACGTATGAAGAAGTCTAAGAAGTCGATTCCCTGGAAAACCATGTTTAAGACCATGTACACTTGCATCAAATGCCACTTCTTATTCCTTATTCCTTGGCAGCACGTAAAAAAGCAAGGCGCCTTCATCTGCCGCAAGCGGTTCAGGGGAATATTCCTCAGGAAGTGGTAGAGATCCAGGCCTAAAAAGCGGGCAAACCGGCAGAACGAGCAGCTGGGTCGACCGCGAGCTGAAGGGACAAACCAAGTCAGGCAAGGACAACTCTTCCAGATACAGTAATCTGAAACAGCACTGCGGGGGTCAACGAGGTAGGCTATGGCAGGCTATGGTCAGTATCGGTCATAATTCTAGGAAATGTAAAATGGGCGACAATTAGGATGTCCAGCTACCAAACAGGGTTTGGGGGGTCTTGGTTTTCATTGGTTTTCCACGCCCGTAGTTGCGTAGTTGTGTTTTGGCTTGAAACCAACAAATGGAGTAAAGCGAAACATCCAAGTCCTGAAAGGTTTTCTTGAAGGGAGGATGTTCTTTGACAAGTTCAAAACTGAAGAAATCTGGAAGAATGGAATGTGCTCAAATGGTGGAGGTCAATGACGATGAAGTCCATCCGGTCAGTGGAGATTCTGCCAAGAAAGAGCCCATTCTGGCCCATTCTCTAGCTAGCTAGCTTCAAAATTAATCCACCTGGGAAATCAGGAGGAGCCTCATGCAGAACGAACATCTCGTCAGGCTCCTCACTGCTCCCAACTGGGACTGCGGACTCACGTCAGTCATGGGCCACTTGATCGAAAAGCTTGGCCAATCCAGCAAGTCCTCCTTGGCCAGGCTTGCGGCTTAGCGCTCGTTTTCTGATCGTCTAAGAAGCAAATCCTGGATCAACTACTTAGGAACAAGCAGCTGAACAAGCAGAATCATGGACCCCCTGCATATCCTTCGAGCATGTAAAACCTGTGGCCCACGCCCACCTCTGCCAACCCACCTGGGTTATGACATCATCTACTGTAAATAATCTATACGACTTATATTGCTGTATACTGGCATGCTTTATGAACCCATGCCATCCATCACCATGATAGCCCGGTGGTTTGTTCTTCATGCTGAAGCATGGGCAGATCCTCCGGGCAAAGATGTCATTCAGAAATTCAGTACCCCTTGTTCCCAGTAGCTTCTTGCTCCTAGTAGCGGCCTCCAACCTAGCGATGGCCTCCACCTAGTAGTTTCTTTCCTTCAGTCTTTCCGGTTGTCCCAGTGGCAAAGGGCACCTTGAAGCCATCGCTCAGAATCACCGGGATGCCTGGCCGGTCTCTCAAGCGACGGGTCCAAGCGGTCGCGCCAGTGGCCCCTTTTGTTCTACGGGCAACCAGGGGGCCTAGCTTGCGACCTGGTCGCTTCCGATGGACCACTGGCCGCTGGCAGTTGGATCGTGGATCGATTCCTCCAGGAAACCGTGCTGATCAGCCTGCGCTACGATCATGGGTTTATCACTCCCGTCCTTGATCCCCTCAACCACGGACGGTGAATAGTTTGTGAGTCAAATCCGTCCCCCCAAGTCCCAAGCAGGCGTATTGGCCACCGAAATGGCTGATTCGAAGTGAGGCAGAGTTCGGACCAAGAGCCCTGGATGTCGACCTACAGATGTGCCAGATGTGCGAGATGTGCTTAATTCTCATATGTTATACGTATATCTACCTGCACGAGCCACGATCCCTCGAGCTCTTGGCTTCCTCTCCAAAAAAACAGACTGAAAAGGGCCGCCGGGCAGCATGGATTAGCACATATTGATACTGCGCCAACCCCTGCTCAAGGAACATGATGAACTCTTCAGTTGGTTGCTGCTACTGAGTACTGTTGATGGGTTGATGGATCATAATCATCAAAAATAGAACAGCAAAACACATGAGTTTCTTCATCGATTTATACAATGGGTCACACCCGCTCTAAGTTGCATATTTGCCCAAAATACAGCAGGCGTTTGAGGGATCTGATCCGGCCAAAAGCCTGGATGAGAATCTACGAGGCTCTACCGACTCATATCCGACCAAAAGGCGCCAGGGCCACATCCCGCGAAAAAGGCTTCATAGAGGTGGTTCGTCCAAGACCTGGTCATGGCAAGTGTGGGAGGCGGCCATGGCCACGGCTGGGGCTGTCAAGATGAGAAAGGCGGACGTTGGGACCCCCCTGACCTCGGGGACCGCGGTCGCAAAGTCCTTCTCAACGTCTTTTTTGACTAGGTCATTGGGCGGCTCTGGCTCTGCTGTTTACAAGCATAGCATAAGACAGCCAAACATGGGACACTCTCTTCCCCTACATCCCATACCTGATGAGAACAGTGGGACATGTCCCAGTTCCATCTTGTCGGAACATAGCGATGGTCTCTGAACCAGGAATCAAGAGGAATCAGAACCATCACGAACCCTCCAAAGTCAAGTTAAACCACCTACAAGACTTCAACGACCGCAGCAATAGACCACCATGTTGCCCTTTTCAAAACAGCAAGAATCCAACATGTAAAAGTTTAAGACTTACACTTAGAAGATGTCAGTGTCACAACCACCTACCACCATTTCTCTGTTCCGAGGCATGACCCGGCAGACGCCCGACCATTTCTCCCAAACGATTCCCCAAAAGGGTGTCCTTCACTTTCGACCGTTTCGTTCGAACTGTTTGGGCAGTTCTCCTTCATTTTGTCCTCTCCCAAAAAGGGCCCTGAACCCAGACCTGAAGGTGAACTCAATGGAACTTCAATGACTTCATTTTCAGGGTCTTTCTGGCTCGCTGTTTCTTATCCCCTCCAGAGCCATAGTCCGTGATCTGTACGGTACCATTGGCTCTGAACCATTCAGCTCCCCAAAACCAACCCTGTTGAGTGTCTCTCGATGGAAAGACCGTTTTTTGTTTGGGCGCCCAAACGAGGTTCCCATGGGCACGAGGCAGAAGTGGGAGGAACCCATGCCTTGGAGGATGAAGCAAACTTCTCGACGAAGTGCCAGGGTCTGCCACAAAGAACGTGTTTGAATTTCTAGTAACTAGTAACTTACTGAACAAGCGTTCCATGTGCATGAGTGGTCGTGGTCGGTGGACCTTGCCAGTCAATTTTGGTCTGAACACAAAGGCCGTGGACTTTGGTCGCTCTTAGCTTACAAGTGAATCCCTCTTTTGAAATCCAGGCCTGTGGACGGGAGCACAACACAGCACAACCAGTGGTTGATGTTGGTTGAGAGGGTCTGCCTACCACCTGTATCCACCTGTTGGATTGCGATGTCAACTCATGCATGTTCGCATTTGCCAACCTAACCGTGTGGCCACGTTTGCGTGTTCGGCTTCGATCCCTTGCGCGGTCTGAAAAGGATCGAACCAGTAACGACACTTGACACCATGACCAAAACATAGCGCCTAACATAGCGCTTGCAGGAGAAATCAACAAAATGCGCTGCCTTGACCCACGAACGGTACCATGGGTCATGGGTCGCATATGCAAAGAATGGATATGGGGCTCATCAAAGAGCAGCCCCGAATAGAATTAGAAGCGGCATCCAAAACATGTTGGAAGATGTTGGAAGTTGTGCTGGTCCGCAGCCTCGAAATCGCACCTAATTTGTCCATCCACGAGT